ATATATATATATATATATACATGATTGCCAGTTGGGTTCACAAGGCAGTGAGCAAAATACATATTGCTCATTCTTCTTCATTTACCATTTTCCCGTGTGAATATTTATATCTTTACATAAACTTCGGAAAAATTTGAGTCTGAACAATAATGTCTTACCGTTGGTCGGCTTCAATGCATTCTGTCATCCCAGATGTCTGATTTTCTAACTCAGTTTCTATCACTCGGTAGCATTTGGTATCAGGGGAAGCTGTATAGTCTGTGAACAAGATGCAAGACACGAAATCTTTGATGGACATTTAGATAAGACTATCAATTTAAAGAAATAACGAAATGTTAGGCGGTTTAGGGCATGTGATTGAGCTGGAAGACGTACAGGAGAGAGGCATGGCACAGGAATAGACGCTGTAAGATGCATCCATGATGACTGGAGGATTAAAGATTAATATCAATAATATATAACATATCAGTCAATCTTTGGTCTTATGTTCTTCCCAGTGCCAGAATCCCTCTCGAAGCAACGTTTGATGGCTCTGCATCACTGGAAATGGCGGCAGAGGAGTTCAGGTGGACACAGGAACTTCCTTCGGAAAAAACAGGACGGCCGTGGGGTCACTACTTAAAAGAGTGCAATTTCCGGGCATACAGGTACTTATTCTTAAAATTTGTTCCAACTATGGAGGGATTGGAGTGGGTGTGGACTCCTGTCGGTAACCTTGAGCCCCCTGTTGAGAACCTTAAACCCTTTTTCAGAAATACATGGCGCCGCCACTGATCACTGGGGACATTAACCAAGAATAACCTTTCTTATAATGGGCTTATTCGACTGGTCCATTTCGTTAAGTACGAATTTTCGTTTAGTACGAATTTTCGTTAAGTATTATTTTCAATCGACTGGTTCGTAAAATAGACTTCGTTGACAAAGAAAATTAACGTAACCAGAATGTGTTAATCAGCGTTAAGTTATGCACGTGACCAAAAAAATATGGCCGATTGGTCAGTTAATATACGGTAATTTAGATTAAATTTCAAGTTTCAATATTTACCCACATTGAAATAAAAAAATAATTGTAGACTAACAGAATTCAAAAACTGGATGGAAACATTTTTTTACGAAAAACCCACACTGCCACAATCCGAAGCAGCCTTGATTATGCAGCGTGTATCGCGCTAACAGTATGCAGCCATTTTGTTCTGTCGAGTATTTTACTGGTCGCCTTCGTTGAGTAGGATTTTACCACAGCGCAGGTGGGCGTGGATTAACGAAGAACGACCAGTCGAATACGGCCGTTGTTATAATTTGCATCGTTGATAGAGAGTAAGTTAACTAATCTCACCACCAATGGAAAAGTAGTTTCCAGTCATATTTTCTTTTATGTTGTCCTCTACATCATCATTCTCTTTGCCTTCAGTCATTAGGAAGTCTTTTGATACATCAATCTCAATGTGTGTAGAACTCTTTCGTAATGGTTTGCAATCTGTTGCTGCAGGTTCCCTTTCAGTCAGAGTGCTTGTAGAATTACTCTCAATTTCAGTCTCGATTTGAGTACATTCCGAATTAGGCCTACTTTGATTTTGAGCAAAATATATCGACTCGTGTTCAGTTTGACTGCATGCAGACTCATTCTCAATTCCAGTGCATGTGGGGTCACTCTTTTCAAATCCGTTGGCCGCAACGACTTGTTCTGGTAAAGATGCTTCTATTTCAATGTGTGTGGAGTTTTTTCTTAAAGGTATACAATCTGAGGCATCAGAATCTCGTTCAGATTGAATAGCTGCAGAATTACCTTCAATCTGAGTCACGACTTGAGTGCATTCTGAACTAGACTTGCTCTTGACTTGAGTGCCTGCCGATTCATTCTCAATCTGAGTACCTGTGGAGTCACTCTTCATGAGTTTTTTGGTCCCAATGATTTGTTCAGCTAAAGATGGAAAGACGTCTTTCTCGGTCTCCTCAGAGACGATAGACTGCACTTTTTTAACAGGTGTAGTAGAAATCGGTTTTTCGATTTCTTTGCCCTTATAAGATTTTTCAAATTCCACAGATTGGAAATTTTCCCTATTAGTTTCTTTAGATTTTTTGGACTGTTCCTTTTCAATTGGTGGGGAATCTTCTTCTTTCTTATCATTTTCAGACTGTTGCATTTGGTCCTGGACCGAGGAGGGTGCCTTGCATCCGATAGATTGTTCTACTGTGTGACGCTTATCTTCAGTATGGTCTCCTGTATGGCTTCCCAATTCCTCTGCACAAGCTATTCCTGTAGGGGGTTGGTGGACAACAACGTTAGGTTCTTCGCACTTAGGCATTCCACCACTGATTGTTCTGATTGTTCCATCCTGTACAACTGAGTCCTTATGGTCCTGTGCCTCTTCATCTCCAAGCTCCCAATCGTCTTCCTGGTCACTTACGTTAGATGACATGCTGCCTTTTAAGACCGTTGACGCTAGTTTATTTTCACGGGCCACTTGTAGAACAGCGTTGAAAAATCTTGGGTTGTTTTCTTTATCCATGAGTATAGATTCAGCAATCAATGACTTGCCGCGCTTCTTCTTTTTTGAACCAACACCATTCTCTTCATTTTTCCTGAGGATTTCCCTACCGAAATAAACAAAAATACATTGAAGTATTTTGTAACAATACAATAAAGTAAAAATAATAATAATAATGATTATATTAATAACAGGTTAACCTAATTATTAGAACCGGTAATCAGAATTTAACTCACTTAGCTTTATTCTGTAACAGTTCCTGAGCTTCTGGATAGTTAACCAGCGTTTCATGAAGTGTTTCCTTATCCAGGACAAAGAGGCTAGCATAACCCGGTGAATAAACATCAGCAGTGCGCCGATTTCCACCAGACAGGCTTAGCAGGCTAACAACAAAATGAGATATAAAGTTATTACCACATCATCACCAGACTATAAGGTGTGCAGTGCTAATCGAAGACCTATGGTACCAGAGGGTTTGGGCATTCTCATTCTTATAGTTTTAACGTTTTAGCCGTTCACGTGCATTTCGTTCGCTTGATCAGAGATGTAAGCAAGCTCTGACATGAATTGAAAATGATCATTGTAGGCCTAAACTTACCTTATTTCTCCAAAGACACTGCCGGCATGTAGTGTTGCAAGCACCTTTCCTCCTCCAAGTACCTGGACCTGCCCACTTTTAATAATGTACATTTCTTTACCAACTTCACCCTGTAAGTCAAAAATGGCAAACATACATTTGTTGCTGCTTTGAAATGAAATTTAAAGTCAGTTACAAATATAGAGCAAATGAAAGGCATACTCCTCTTTTTGACTAGGCGATCAATTGTTTAGATTTGGAACTGTGCCCACCAATACCTCTTTTCTCCAATCTACAACACTTTCTTTTAATTAAAAAAATATTAGTGTTTCTGGTAAATATTTTAATAATAACTGTAATAAATAATTTAAATATTTAAAAGATATAGTATAAAATATACTGTAGGCATACTGCACATATCTTAAACTTTTGATACATTATTTGTATATTTGCATATTTTGTGATAGTTCACTCACTTTCCGACAGATGAAGTTTCCCGGAAGAAATAAAACTGGTCTTAGCTTCAGCATCAGATCCCTGAGTAGCATTTTATCGCAGTCCTAATTGTAAATAATACATGTATGTTTACATTACACTTTTTTGGGAAATTACATTAATTAAATGAGAGTAATAATTAGTGTGATTTACATTTTCTTTTGAACCAAATCTTTTGGTTATACGATTTTAATATAAATTCAAATTCAAAAGAACATTTATTTACTTCCTTCTAATGTTACATAATATTTTAAAAAAACAATTAGTATTCATTGTAATAGTTATACATATAAAGCAATATAACAATATTTAATAACTTATATAAAAGTAATGGGAAGAATAAAAATGCCGGAGAAGATTGCAATAACCTTGTGTGGTGCCAGACTGGAAAAAATGGAAACAATACGTTTGGACAAAAATACAGTCATACGAACATGATGTGACAAAGAAAAAACGACATGAATCATTGGCAAAAAGTAAATCATAATCACAAGTATCACTATTTATAACGTTATCCTGTGGCGGATTCAAGAAGACGTGATATTTCAGTTCAGGGGATGTAGGCTGCTGGCGAATGATCTCGGGTAGATTCGGAAGTAATCTACAGTTTGAGTCCTTTCATCAAAGTGGTATTTGCGTATACACAGATACCAAACATTTCTACATCATAATTTTTAGAAAGTTTGAGTCGTATCTGTCACAGAAAAGACCTACGCATTTTATTCGCATTCATATTCGTTAAACGGATAGAACAATTTGAACATTACCTACGATGCCAAATTTAAAGTTGGTTATAATAGGGCCTATCTACGACCTTGCAAATAAATAATATGTAAAACTATTTGCCAGAAATCAGAAAAAAAACCCCTCAAAATACTCGTATTACGTAATCATGAATTTTGTAAGTTTGTGAAATGTGCCTATTAATAATTGATTTCCACGTGTGAATAAACAGTACGTACCTGGAACAGAGACACTTTGGTCAATGTATCCATATGTACATGAATGGCAATATCCGTTTGCATCTTAAATGGAACCCCGGAGAGAATATCTGCTTCATCTGCAAAAATATTTATCAAATAAAATCAAATTTTTATATTTACTTATATTTATTTATATTTATGTTATTCATTAGGCATGATGGAAAAACTCTATACTCTATGGACGACGCAATGGTTCATTTTTCATGAGTACCAAAAAACCCCTTCACTAATTTAGGTCTAAAGGCCGTTTTCCACTAGGCGAATTTATTCGCGCTAATTGAAAATGTTTACCCATACATGCATGTGCAATTTAAAATTGAACTGTGCATGCGTATATGGCGAATATTTTCGATTCGCGCGAATGAATTCGTAAACGGCCTTAATAAGACTAATAGTGAGAATAAAATAACATAGTTTATTTCTACCAATTACAAGTCAAAAAGGAAATAAACAGACCGGGTAGAAGACCAAAAATCAACTGGAACGCACAAAAGAATAACTAAAAAGGACAACATTATATTCCTCACAAAACATCATGCCCTTTACAGAAAAAAATGAACAAAATAGTGGAAAGCATAATGTTGCAAGACGGAACATGTCAAAGGAGAAGATTTTTTTATACCTAATGAGACAAAAAACTGTGTAAAAACCTGTATTAGGAATACGTACCTATAAGTTCTCCATTATCCCATTTATACATGTACCACATACGTACTTTCTTCTGTACATGCTCTGGTATCTTCCAGTTGTGTAGTAGTAGCATGGTGTTATCCATTCGTTGGCGGAACCGCTCCTTGGTGGCGCTTGCTGCCCCAACGATATCACGCATCTGAATAAAAAATGTATATTATGAAAATACAGGTCTCCCTCCAATTAAAAGCCCCTCCAATTAAAGACCACCTCCAATTAAGGACCACTTATATGTGGTCCCAAATTAACAAATGTCTTTTATCTTTATTATCCTAATTAGAGACCAAAGCTGCCAAAAACCATTGGAACCCCAGTCCCAGAAGTGGTCTTTAATATTGGAGTGAAACCTGTATTAGTAAAAATATGAAAACAGTAACTTTCACCATAGGCCTACCCACCACAACCACCATCTTCCGCACCACAATTCTCACCACCATCACCACCACCACCACAACCACATCCTTACTGTTAACCCCACCAAAACCACCATCGTCACAGCTACCATCCACAATTCTCACTACCACCATTTCCGACACTTCGCATTCATCACATAACTTAATTGTTCATGGAACACCATGCAATTTTATTCTGCGTATAAGCCTTGTTATTAAAATATCAAGATTGTGTTTAATAATATTTTTTAAAACCCACCTGACCAATGATCGATGCAAACACAAATATACCAATTGCAAAATCAATATTCATAAACACGATCTCAAGATCTGTCACAGGCTCGGGGAGGTTGCCAATGGTGATGAGTGTCTTTGTTGCCCGGAACATGCACCGGATGTAACTGAATGAACAAAGATATTTAATAAACAGTTATATATGGTGATGATGTTTACAAACATTATATTAATTTTGTGCACAGTATACATACGGGTTGGCATTTGTATCAACGTTGTACACCCATTCGTTACTTGATAGACCTTCGTAGAGGGAGACGGCATAGTAACAGCACGTGTTGAGATGAATCATGTACAGCAGGTAGCTAACCATTTTCCCAACCCTAAAATATAAATAATTAAATGAACCATGTGTCGCCACATACACGTTGCCTATATTTTACAATTAAAGTACATAGATCTGCTTCATTTATACCCTGGTATGCATAGTTATTGTAGTACAGTATAAAAGCCCTCACAATATTATCATTATTGTATTATATAATTTTTATGAAGTGTACTACATTTCAGCGGATATTTGCTAACGTTGGCACAAGCTTCAATAAATAGAAAATGAATCGGACAGTAACTATAACATTTAAAATTGGACAAATGAAACTTCAACTCAAGAAATGTGTGTACGACCATGGAACTTCTAATGCTTCACACTGAGGAAACGTAATACTGTACTGTAGTCACACCGAGAACGGAATCTTGTAGTTAAATGTAAGTGTGTGCTAGTTTGGTTTGTAAAGTTATGTTCACTTTCATTGTTTAACACGACAAAAAAACACACTATATATCATTTCTGTAACACATGTCTATTACTGTAAAAAGTTTCATCACAAGTGGAACATTACCTAAATGCATCGGCAAAGCTAGATGAGTTTTCAAAGCGACTCACAAACTCATTGTAACAATGATATTTTAGTAGACGTGGAAGTCGGATGAACACCACATATCTTTTGTCCGTAAAGGCCTTACTGAAAAGGTCAAAGGGTAGCAGACAGACCAGATCCAACTATTCAAGAATAATATTTACAAGCATTACGAAAATATTTTTGTTAATAATTATTATTACATATCACATTCGAGATCCAGCAAATAATGCATAAAAGGTGTCTTATAGATCTCTGGCACACAAGTCACATACGATATTAGTGCTATATCAAAATTGTGTCGTCAGACACGTTAAAGAATTAAAGAAAATAAAATTCTACAGGCGCTGGGTTCTCCACAACGCCTTCGTGGTCAAGGGGTTATGACGTACAATCTTAAGACTGTCTTAACGACTGAGATCATTTGGTAATAATAGAGATGTAGTTTGATGGTTAGATGCTAGCCTTTCTATTCCAGGGTTCCTGGTTCAAATCATGTGACAGCACAGAATTTTTCCTCACGACTGAAAATCAATCTTCATTCCATAGGCCTCGTAAATATACTTAGAGTTGATAAAACACCACGAAATTTTATTTATTTATAAGAATAGGTATGGGGAAGTTATGGGTCCGAGAAAAATCCTATTATTTTACAGGTATAGAAGATAGGGCAAGGCTCAACCATGCGACATTGGGGTGGTGTTTAAGGGTTTCTTGGCTTACGTCTATAATAACATTAATAATTAAAACGTCACTAAATACTTTCGTGTCATACCTTGAAGTTTCTTGATTTGAAGTAGTTTGTTCTTGTCAGTTTCTTATCCTCCTGTAAATTAAAAATTAATACACAGAATATATATATATATATATACAGTATATATATATATATGTTGTATGAACATATATACATATATACATACATACATACATATATATGTTATATAGTGTATATATATACAAACACATACATATAAAACAAAATAAGTAAACAGTGCTCACATATACGTATTCTGTCTCTTATACACATCTAGATGTGTATAAGAGACAGGCAGGTAGCTAACCATTTTCCCAACCCTAAAATATAAATAATTAAATGAACCATGTGTCGCCACATACACGTTGCCTATATTTTACAATTAAAGTACATAGATCTGCTTCATTTATACCCTGGTATGCATACGATACAACCGACATATTTGATCTGCCTACAAAACCGAAATACACACATATTTTTTGAAACATAAAAATAATTCAAATATTGATAATATTTCTTGATTATATAGCTATTGACACTGAATCCTATAAACTCACCACATACATGCCACCATGAATGAACTGTAATCTCGTCCTAAATAAAATGTCCAGAAGATATATGAAATCAAATATTAGGTCAAAGGCCAGCCACAAATTAGAACTTTTCTTCTGGTCAATAGCATCATTGTCGTGGCCAAACACTCCTCGTAGGAAAATGGTGATTGCATTGTATACGAACGCCATAGAAACGACAAACAGCCAGGTTAGCCAGAACGATCCTGTAATACAAGATGTGGAATGACATAATAGGTAAATGATTAATAGTTTGTTTGATTGATTGATGCCTAATAGACTGATTGATTAATTGATTGATTGAATTATCTATTTATTAAGTGATTGATTGCTTTCTTCCTTGATTGCTTGTTTGTTTGATTGATTGATTTATTGATTGATTGATTGATTGATTGGTTGATTGGTTGGTTGATTGATTGATTGATTGATTGATTGATTGATTGATTGATTGATTGATTGATTGATCGGTCGATCGATCGATCGATCGATTGATTGATTGATTGATTGATTGAAAAATACACTTGTTTGAGATTGAAATTTCAAAATCAAGTACAGTATTATCATGGTAGTGAATTTTCATAAAAGCCGTTTTTACATCAGTGGATCATCTTGGTTCTGCATACCTGATGGATCGATGGACTTCATGTTTTTCAACCTTTTCAACCATTTTGGTACTGTGATTTTCTTTGAGAAGAAGCTGACTTCCAACACAGTCTCTTCCACACAACTGCTGGGTGCAAATGAATCTAATCTCTTTCGTTTCTTAGATAAAGGAACTAAAGTTGGGGAAAAGGATCGTACCTAATTAATACAATTACGTAATTAATTACAATTAATACATTATTTAAGAATCATTGGAATCATTGAACGGGCCGCGATTTTTTTTTCCGTACGAAACATTTGCATGAAACTTCACTCGGGCCATCTCGGATTGACACGAGTGAGTACGATACGAGGAACAAGAGCAGACACTTCGCAATGTCGTGACGCTCGAGTTTTACTATTATTGCTCTTTCTATGTTTACCTACGGTGGGCCTATGAAATCTCACGGATTTATGGGATGTACGTGTGTAACTAACTAACTGTGACCTCCTTGGATGTTATTATGTTAGTATATTGTTTACAACAACAGAGTACCTCCTGTTATAAAGTGTAGATAGGTGCAGTAGTACCAAAGGCTGGAGAGAAAGAGGATAAACTATAGGCCTAACTACAGGCTGAGGTCTTACCTATGCCCCTCCTTATATAGGCCTGTGGTCATAGGCTGACACCAACAGTCACGCTTCATGGACTGAAATTTTTGGGGGAAAAATGTGACAAAATTGAAGCATTAAATGAAAAATAGGGCGCATAAGCGAAATATTATTAAATAAATAATATACCATTCCGGCGTTATTGAACTTGTCCAAACTATCATTGTAATGTAATTATGTTAAATAATAATAATAATAATAATAATAATAATAATAATAATAATAATAATAATCATTTCAGCATTAATTACATTGACTAAGTCTTGTAATGAAGAACCTACAGATACCGTACTATTTACTAGGCCTATAAATAATAATCGCCCAAGGGGAATATCTTTTTTGTTATTTCCCCTTTAACGTCGTTTTTTTAATTGTTCTCTAATTCCTCCATTGTCTAAGTTCCCCTTAAGGTACAGGTAATAATAATAATAATAATTTCAGTATTAATTACCTTGGCCTAGGCTTGAATGAAGAACCTCCTATAAATAATAACTAGCCCAAGGGTAATATCTTCTGTTATTTCCCCTTAACGTCGTTTTTTAAATTGTTCTCTAATTCCTCCAGTCTGAGTTCCCCTTAACGTACAGGTAATAATAATAAATAATAATAATAATAAAATAATAATAATAATAATCATTTCGACATTACATGTAATTGGTCTAGCCTTGTAATCAAGAACCTGCCAATTTGAAAATAACTGACACCCTGTTTCATTTGATCAGTGATGAAGAAACACGCGCTTTTCCTTAGGCCTACTCTTTGTGCTTTTCCCAGAAAGCGTTTTTAGTACTTGTAGGCCTAGGTAATTATGCAAAACCCAGGCCTAACTAAAAAATTTAAATTGTCATAGTATATAACTCAAGTTAAAATAACACTTTTCATTACTCGTGCAGCTTAATCAAATATTATATGTCATTTTAAACGACCCAGTATTAACATGGTAACATCAATGTATTTTTAAGAATTAGACAGCGACGTTCCATCAGAAGTTGTTTTGTAGACGTTTATCTGTTGATGACCTTTTGACCTCCTGAATCTACAATGAGATTTTCGGGTCGATTCAGCCGAGACGGCCCGAGTGGAGTTTCATGTAAATGTTTCGTACGGGAAAAAAAATCGCGAACGGGCCCATTGGTTGGGGGTCTGGGGCACCAACAGGATCGTGGGGCAGATCCTTGGTGGGCCCCCGCCCCCGAAAGCTACGACTTTTTAACGGATTAAATGACTAATTCAATATAGAGTGCCTAATTTCACCAGGTCATGAAAAATAAAGTATAGAAACATGAAAAGTAAAAGCTCCTTCCTTTCATTCAAACGTGCTGAAAAGATCCATAACATAGGCCTAGGTATCAAAGTTTACAGTGGCGGATCCAGGAATTTAAAATGGGCCCCAGAGAAGGACTTTCACAGATGGATGGTCTATCTACCTCAGCCCCATTATGGTTGGGGCTAAGGTGAGGTAAGAATATGTATGATTATGGCACCTCTGGACGGCTGCAAATTATTATTAGTTGTGCTTGTATGGCGCATACTGCTAGAGCCTCTATGCGCTTCCCAGAAAAAAAAAAAGAAGGAAATTCAAATTTTAAAAAAAGAAAAGAAAAAGACGGAAAAAGTAAAGTGAAAAGCAGAAAACTAATCGGGAAGCGATTGATTACCAGATTTTATCGAAAAACGCTTTATTTACAATTCTCGTATTAAAACACATGAATGTATACGTTTAAAAATGTTATTAAAAAATCGGGGGCCCCTGCCGGGCCCCGGCCGGCACTTGTCTCGGTTGCCCCGGCCTCTCGGAATCAGATTAATATTCTATCAATTTAACGTCAGCAAATGTCATGTCCTTTCATGTTCAAAATATTGAGCGTGGGTAGTTAGTAGAAGGCAAGTAGGCCTACAAGCAAAAGGTGCACTTACCCGACATCGGTACTCAATAGTAGTAAACGCAAGGATTGGCTTAACATTAAATTGAGCCGTTGTATTACATCTTACAATATTAACTATTCGATTATGCACTATACCTTCTAATGCTTCTGGATGCACCTTATTTTGTCTCATCTTGTTTGCTTTGTTCACAACTGTCTTGAAGATTTGACGAAATCGCTCGGTTTTCTGAGATTCCTCACAATCGAGGCTGTCAACAATTATCAGAAATATGGGTCAGCACTTCAACAGTCAGTATAAATATATCTAACTTATACCTTATATAAATATATATATATATATATATATATATATGTATAAATATAATATAATTACCGGTATATAATAATAATAATAATAATAATAATAATAATAATAATAAAAATAATAATAATAATAATAATAATAATAATAATAATAATAATAATAAATAACAATAATAATGATAATGAAACCGTATTTCTAGCGCCTAATAGATCACAGACCCCTAGACACTTTACGTAAGTTAGAAACTGTATGGTGCAAACTATCCCCCGCCGGACACCAACCCGGTATTTCTGAGTCAGGTTTCGGGGCTGGGATTACAAGGTAGGACAAGTTAGGCCACAGTTCCATCCATCCGTCCGTTTGTTCATTCGTTCATTCATTCACCATCTAGCCTATAAGTTAATAATAATGATCTATCTAGCAAAGAAAATAATTACTTGTAATCAAAATAATTTCTTGTAGTATCGAACCCGGAACGATGGAATTGGAAGACGAACACAGCTCCACTTCGATAAAATAATCTCAATTCCCGGTAACGGGTCTCAATAATTTAGATTAGTGTATCTCCACTTAAATTGTCAGCTTTTTAAAGTAAGTTCTATACTTTTCTACTGCAGAGAATTACCATGTCCATTTGAAATCGACCATTTTTCAAAACTAGATTATAGGCCTAAGTTAATTTCAGACTAACCTGAAACTTCCCTCGCTGCTGTTGATACTGCTGATGGACGAGTGCTTCCCCGCCCAAGCATTAAGCAATGGCAGCTGCGACATATCTAAAGAGTTCTGTAAAAGAATGAAAATTTTTGTCACAGTTTAAAAATATGAATCTGTCACTCAAGCTATTTCATTTAGCTTTTATTCTCCAAGAAATCAACAGATATCAGGGGTGTGTCTCCAGGGTTTGGTTTCAATAGTTCATTGGACAAAGTTTTCGACCTACAAACTATAGGACCTATGCACTTCTTTTTGTACTCTTAAAACAGTACAAATCTGTGTTGTTAAAAATAGTGGACTAATGCTCTCCATCAACACATGCGCGGTAAAAAAATGGATTTTAATCTTATTTCAATTTCCAACAAAGCCTCAATTGCTTTATTTTTTTTAATTATTAATATTATTATTGAAATCAAGGCTCGAAAAGCAACTTCTAGGTAAGCGAGGGGTTACTTGTAAAAACAGAAGGTCCTGGATAGGGTAACTTTTTTACACTTAATGTCTCTCACTCAAATGTCTCTCACCGGAGACCTCTTTTTTCATATAACTATATAAGGAACTTTCGTTGATGAACTACGTTTGATACGATTTTATACCATCATGTTCCTGTACATTTGAGCAATGAGCACGGTATTATTATATACTTGATCCATACATTATTTGTGTTCCCAGTGCTAAGCAGCAACTTTATTTAATAATATTTCCCATGATTTTCCAGCTGTTACCTGTAAAAGCTATTACGTAGCTTAAAAATTCTCTCCATTATGTGTGAGCCCTCAATTTGTAGGAAATGAAGAGCAACTAGTGGTCTTAGATCCGTAATGATATCGGATGGGTCTCTGATGTCCAAACGGTGTGAAGCTCGCCGAAATAGCGAGAGATAGCGAGTTGGATTCCCACCATCATGTTCCTATATATTTAAGCATGATATATATATATATACTGTCTCTTATACACATCTAGATGGGAGTAAAACGTGTGTCTGTTATAGGTAGACTGTGCCTCTTGCTGTTGAACTGAGGTATTGTCAGGGATGAGTTGGATCTGAAATACATGAAAATTCAGAAAAGAATTAATGGGAAATTTTACAATCATTGTTAAATGATGAGCAAAATTACCATTATAATTATGAAAATGGACATATTCATTCGGTTAATCTCACCCGTGTGTACCAGGCCACCTGTGAATGTGTAACCCATCATACATGGTTTGGCTTTGTGTCACCGTTTGCAAAGATTTTGAGCCTGGACTGAAAGCAATCCTAGCCTCTGAAGCAACCGGCATTGATGACAAGCTTGCTGTATCAAGTAGGCCTATCCCTGACATTTTCCACTTTCGCTCTGGGAAGAGAAGAAAAGAGTAAAAACATTTTAGCATGATTTTTTTCTCTGCCAGGAAACGTTTCAACAGTGTTTTGTTTTCCACTGAAATGTGTTAATAATTCTGTAGTTAATTCATGGAATTAAAAGTGATTTAATAAAAAAATATATATATATTTTTAAAAAAATTAACGTTTCGGATCCACAATGGATACGTTTTATATACTGTACATCTGTTAATTCAGAATTTAAAAGACCAACACAAATAAATCATAATAAACACTTTATGGGATGTAATTATGAATATTCATACGTAGTGGTTTCTGCATTAAATAAACAGTTTTATAAACTTCCAAGCTACAAATTTTGCTCACTCACCAGAGCGCTTTCTCTGGATTATGGGATGTAAATTTCATTTTATAGCTCTTAGTATTTCATTGGCAAGCGATATGCAGCATGTAATTACAGTAGCCATATTGATATTTTATATAAGAGCATTAGAATGTAACCGACCGTTCGAATCAATGATGGCGTGGTCACCCAGTGACGTATCTAGGAGTCTTGAAAGTTGGGGGAGCGGGAGGAGGTGCTGATGAAGTGCAAAGGCAAAGTGGGGTTTGATGACAAAATGAAGGGGTGCTAGCGTGCAAAATGGGTGATTTGAATCCACTCAAGTGTGCTTTTTGTTTAGGTTGGGGGAACGAGTTTCTGTGGGAGGAGGGGGTGGTGGTCGCCATATACAAAAAAAAAGAATTAATAGTCGCAATACCTTGTTCGCTAAGTACCACGCCATAATCCAGACTCAACTCGTCGTCTGCTATAAATCCTTGGTTTGGGAAATGGAATCCATTTCTATTTGAGTTTGGCTTTGGAGCTTCAGATAAGCATATGGTGGGTGTATTTGGACTTGGAGGCGACAAGCCAATGGTAGAGACTGTTTTTTCCGAAGATGATTGAAGCACTTGAAGTTCTAATGTATGTGGTTTGGAAGCCATTTTTATTGTATGTCTTCACCTCAGCTTTCACATTGACAATTTAAGAATTTTATATAGCTCAGAACCTGTAATAATAATAATAATAATAATAATAATAATAATAATATTAATAATAATGATAATATAACAATGATAACAATGCTATATAATATGCTATACAATTATAACGATGATGATACTGATAATAATGATAATATTATCAGTATTTTAGTAACATGTTGATAATGATAATAATAATAATAATGATAATGACGACGACGATGATGATGATGATGATGATAATCATGATCATGTTATCGATGATGATAGGCTAATGAAAATGGTAACGATGATGTGGATGTTTTTATTTTGATGAATTTTAAATTGATAATAATATTTATATAACAACAATAAAATAGCAATGTTAAAAATTAATGGCAATAATACTAATTATATGACAATGATATATAGTGATAGTATTAATAATAATAATAATAAATAACAATTATGATAATATGAATGATGATGATGAGAATATTTATCAAAAATAATTATTGTAATAATAATAGTAATAGTAATTATCAATATCATAATAATGTATCATTATAAAAAAAAAACCAGAGTAATAAAGCTATATGTTATGTATTCCATATATTATTATAATTTATTATTAACGTTACTATTACCTTTCATGTCATCATTACTTATATTAGCAATCTTATAGTTAAAACATTATATATTTTCTTATTTATTATATAATGCCATATAGCCGAAGTCTAAGTAATATTAATCAAAATGTCTAAATCTGCATTTGATAAGGAAGTGCCAAATCTTAATAACGAAATATGCAAATACATGTTTTAATAGATACAAAATTATGCAAATATTTAAACAGTCACATGAATAAGCTAAAATATTTAATTAATTATGCAAATTAGTTTTGCTAATAGATATCTACTATAAACCTGCAATAATTTGTCAGGCACTGCAAGAAGTTCTGCATGTTACAGCAATACAAACATGATAGTGATCAAACAGTCTGATCCCATTCAAAATAGAAAAGAGAAACAAGACATACCACAGAATATTCACCGACTAAAATCAAAATATCTGCGAAATAATATTTTTTCCAATGCGAACGAGTACCGTTATATAAATAAGTAAATCACAGGACGGTACATTTGCTTGTTAAGATGGCGTTGTGCACAATAGATGAAGACGCCTATTAAAATGGTATTGCGCTGCTTCAAGTAATCGTCTTCATTATAGATCCGAAATATTGCCATGGAAACGGCTGATTAATGCGCAATCATCTTGTTAGGTTGTTCGTTGGATACGGTGTTCTGCATTTCATTAACGAGATCGTCTGTTGATAAGTGGATTATATGTGTTGAGCAGATTGATCAATCCAATTCAATATTAGATTTGTTTGCTTTGTATACATAAAGATGGGATGAGCTAAAAATCAATATTGAATTGCCTACTTTATATATTTATTTATATATACATATGTCTATATGTATATATATATATATATATACACGTGTATAATATTATATATATGTTAGTGTTTAAAGTCAAAAGGGGTATCATTACTGTTACACAGTATTATATATATATATATATAATATATATAATATATATATATATATTTAGTTGATATACATACATATATATTATATATACTTATTTAATATCTTAATTGCTTACTTTGTATATTTAATGGTATAGGCCTACTGCCACCTCTAGAGCGTATACATACAGTATCCTCTCCCATTAGGAGAATTTTAACATAGGCCTACTATACATAATTCTTACATTAACATTTGGATTTTCATAGTTATATATAAACTGAGATTTTATATATTGTTGTGATCCTTTTAAATGAGCAATTTAAGAACGTATTTTAATTTTTGAGGTTCTTTTTTAATTTATATGTTTCAGCATCGATAATTCTTTCTCTATAGTTTCAGTCGGTCTATTAATTATTTATATAGTTTTAATTCAATACGTAGAAAATTACACGGTGAGGTAACTGCTCATATATGAGACGTTATGTAATTTATTTTATGAATAATATCATCTTCATATGTCCTTTTGTTTTATGTTTCGTAGTGAATGGTCTATAAGTCAGCCAATATTCGTATGTGATTCAAACCGTGTATTGCAATTTAGGAACACTTTTTCTGGCAGAGAAGCACGTTTGCTTTCGGTATATATTATAATTTCCTACCTTACATTGGATGTACAGTATAACAACAGATATTAATGAGACGATGCAGCACAGATTTTAAAAATAAAGACTGAATTGCAAGTACCTCTACTTATCTATAGTAATATATTTTTCTCAGAGACAAATGTTATGACTTTTTATACTGTGTATTTTGTCACGGCTGAGTGGACTGCACAGGTCATCCATACACGGGTCAGTGGTTGTCGAAGATGGCGGTAGTCGCCACGTCTGAGGAGGTGGAATACCTCACTGATATTGACCGTATAGAAGACGCTTTTGACCGATTATGTCAGGAAGAGGTAATTATTCAAAGAATAATATTCAAAGCCTAAGCCGAAGCTTGCATATTGTTATATTATAATCTTAGAGCTGTAGTTAACACTTAAAATTTCCGTAAGCCGTAGGGTACGAATTGTTGTAGGCTCATGATGCGGTTGAAGTAGTCGATATGTGAATCGTGCCTTTATGAAAGGAAGTGATCCCAAAATGCTCTTTCTATGCTAGGCCTAGATAGAACCATGACAAAACTGCACACCTTTTCTGATACTTTTTAAACGTTTCAGGTACGGTTTATACCTAGCCTACGCTGACAGGAGTGTGTTTCGATTTGTGCATATTTGTAATATTGTTTGATGTATCACACTCAAGACCGAAACAACATGGATTTGAGAACCAAATGAGACAAATAATATTTTTTGATATTTATTTCCTAACGAACATTGGCACCCAAATGACCAAGTATGACAAGTATTAAATTATAATTGTAAAAAGATCTCATTAGGCCTACAGTGTAGGCTACCTACAGTATGTTATACAGAAAAATATATCGATGATAGGTATGGAAACATATCCAAAATTTGTCACAATATTTAGCATGAACACAGTACATAAAGCAAAGACCAAAACAATGACAGTGAGCCGAAGATGCTTGGCATAATAGAAAATGACGTGATGCATCAAAAGTCATCATAGAAGTTTTAACTTTATCTATTTTCAGAAGAAAAAAAGACTAGCTATTTCAATATGGCAAAACATTGTAGGAAGATCTCATAAAAAGTAAACAAATATGATACGGAAATTTATTACATTATACCTGGAAATAGATTATCAGTGATACAGGGAAAAATAGCCAAAAGTAATAAACAATACGGAAGGGTATTAAATTATACCTGTAAATATTCATTTACAGAAAAAAAAAATTAGCATTAAATGAAAAGACCGGAACGATGCAGGGCTGAAATGACCCAGGGTTAAATCGACCCCGGGCCTGATCAACTCAGGGCCGAAACGACCCGATACCCTTTCTGTACGAGAATTTGCATTCTGTTGTGCCAGGCCTGGCTGTTACGACTTTCCAACATTTTTTTTTTTTTTCTGAAGCACATAGTAGCTTTTTGCATTATCTGTATCATTTGAATATTTTCAGGTAACATTCTCATTAGGAAAACCTTATTTTTCTTGAGACTTTGTATAGTAAGTAATGTATGACTTGATTTCCATTATAAAATAACTTTTAAATATTTTTTTTGTCATATGTTTATAGCATCAGTTAACACAAGAAATTGATGAATTAATTGATGAGCAGGGTAACTTGGAAGGCAAGATGAGTACATTTCAACGCATTGTGTAAGTTGAACTATAATATTTGTTTTTAATGTTTTTACTTAAATTTTTTAATAGGTAGGTATATATGAGCTAGTATAATAATTATATTATAATAATTTATGAAATGATTTTGTTGTAGAATTTTTTTTATATTATTTATGAAGAATTCATAAATAGATATCTATTTAATGTATTTTGAATAATTTAAATATAAGATTACCAAGATTTTATTTTTCATGAGGCAAAAAAGTTTTCTGAAAAATTGTTGGATGACATCACACACACTGGCATATACTACTAAGTCTATGCCAGTCCTAGACACCCACTGATATTCATTGCTTATGCTGATTATTATAATTCTGCAGGATGTTTTGGTGTCTTGCCTCGTAAAAGTGATAACACAGTATATATAATATGAATGTATAATTATAATTACTATGTATAAGTTACAAGCAATTTCTTGTGTTATCTAGTCCTAGCTTGGCCGATGTTCATTCCGATTCAACTAAACTCAGAGACATGATTTGCTTCACATCTGACCTTGCGGAAAATGTCAGTGGAAAGGTCAGGATACTGGATCTGGCAAAGGTGAGTGTAATAAATAGCAAAAGCAAATAGTCATCATATGGCATAGGCTTAAGCCAAACATGCATTGTCCCTACAAATCTGTTCGCGCTTTTTTGCCTATTCTCTGACCTTTTGCTAGCCCATTCCTAGATATCCATAAAAAATGATACTGAAAAAAAAAAAAATGGTTAATTGTTGCTAGAAGAATATATTGCGGTAGTACAGCCATAGCCCACAGGAACTATTTGCTGATGGAGTCGAAGATTTTTTCCCCTCGTAATTAAAAACAGTTTCATACCCTAAGCCTCATATTAAGACAAAATTTAGAGTATCACATAATTCAGTTTTGAGTGTAATCACTTACTGTAAAAAAGTAACCCACATAAAACCATGTATAATAATTATTTCACATTTCATTCATTTACAGATTCATTTCTTGTAAGTAAATAAATCAAATCTACTGTTAATTGAGTGTTTTTATTTATACAATATTTCCGACAGTTAGGGAGTCAGTTTACTGATGACATTGTTCTTCAGATAATATTGTTTTCTTCATCATAGAGTCGAGTACAAGCAGCAAAGCAACGAGTTGATGATGTCCTTGATTTGAAGGTTAGATTATAGACCTACTTTCATAAAATCATTTATACCTCCATTGATTGATTATATGCATAACACATACAGAGCTACAGATTAAATTTACATATTGAATGAATATTATTTTTATAGCATAGCATAGATTGTATTAACATAACAATTCATTTATTTCTTTGGGGTTAGTTTATAAAGTACCTTCTCTTCTGTCAACATATTCGTGTCAATATTTGGCTAATTTAAAAAACAACAACTCATATTTAATGTTTGTAAAATGGGGTTGATTACATAATGCATATTCTTAAATGTACCAAGGATGACAATTCAGTTCTTTTTTTAGTGAAGTTCTACAAAAGGGAAATTTACATATATTGGTTCATCCAATTATCACACTCATAAACTACCAACATCACTGTTGATTGGTGTAATCTATGTAGCCCAATTAACAGTAACATTTCAAGCTCTATATTGACAACAATGTGATCGTAAATTATTATTCTAGTATATTGTATATCAGCAAGTATATATTACAATGCCAATGTCTCTGTGCCTTTTACATTATTTTGATGGCCCTTGCATCAAATGTGTATAAAACACTGTTTTTGTCTCTGTCCGTGCCAGTTTTGTACAGATGGGGTTCAGACGGCCCTTCAGTCAGAAGATTTTGAAAAAGCAGCAGCACATATTCACCGATTTCTATCACTTGATGAAAAAGTTCTACAACAATTTGCTCCTGATGCTAAAGAAAGTAAGGGATTAAAAAAGATTGCTCTTTCTTCTTCTTGAGTATGACAAACAGCATAATTTGCACTTTAAAATGCTAACATAAAATCATTTATATAATATATGATATAATATATAATATATTCAAAGGAATAGATTAAGTTTAAAGGCATGGTTTTTTGTAAGTTGTTCACTGGACAGCCGGTCACCAGAAATTAGGTCACCAGGAAGTCGGTCATCACGTCACGTTGTCTTTTTAATAGTATTTGGATCTGTTAAATCCGATGCAGAATATTTTATGGCCATTAGAGTAACTGTTTTTTATAAATCTCGCAATCTAGGTGGCGGACTGGATGCTTCGTTGCAGGTGTTGCGGGAAGCTGAAGCAAGACTGCAAACACTAGTCCATGAGAAGTTTGATGAAGCAGTCAATAAAAGTGATCTTGCTTCCGTCGAGCGGTTCTTCAAGATCTTCCCGCTCATAGGCCTCAAGAATGAAGGCTTATCAAAGTTCTCGTCATATTTAAAAACCCAGGTGAGTAAGCTTTCCAAGATTTTTAAGTATTTAATATTTCGTGGGCTTCTATCAAGCTATAACCTTTCACCCTGATTGACCAGTACACAGTAAAGGCCAATTCAGACAGCATCGCGATTCAGCATCGGGGACAGTCTTGATCTGTCGTGAGAAATGTTAAACATGTTTATTATTCTACGGCGCGACTGCCCCCGAGGCACACCATTGTGTCTGCGTTTAAACTCACACAGACCCGACGCGACAACAAATCGCGTCGAGCTGCGTTGTACGGCGCTGTCTGAGTTGGCCTTTAGATTCCACACCTAAACTCAGCTCCACAACAGTTAAGGCTGAGGTGCTTTTACTTGCCGGAAAGGGCACTCTCAGATTTAGAAAAGCAATGCTTTATAAAATATTGTAGAAGTTCTGTAGCATATCTAAAGATTGAATGAAAACTCTTGAAAAAATAAATTTACAAAAATGGAAAATTTATGCAATGCCCAAGAGGATGGAAGTGTTTAGTCTTACTTCTAGGAAGGTTAGAACCTGTAATGATATATCCAGACTTATTATTATAATTTATATGTCATCAGTCACAAACAACACCACATATTTCATCTCTAGACACTTATCCTGTGTTAGTTACTTCATAATTTTTCATTTTCTTAAATGTTATTTACATTTTCTCAGATTGCAAACAAGTCAAAAGAGCATATAGAGGTCGGACTAAGCAAAAGCACAACGGACCGTAGGGCAAAAGTCATGTTTGCAGATGCCCTAACATTACTCTTTGAGGAAATTGCACGAATTGTTGAAATTCATCAACCGCTTGTAGAAACATATTATGGTGAGACACATTAGTATTATCAACATTAATTGATAAAAACAAAACATATTTCAAATTTATATTGAAATTTAATATGGAATTTTTAATGTTTTTTAAGGTCCTGGTAGAATGCTACACTTGATGTTAGATTTACAGGAGGAGTGTGATAAACAAGCCAAAACAATAGTTGATCATTTTGTAGAGCACCGTGACTTCCATGCCAAGTCGAAACTGGTGTTGCAGGCATTAAGGACAACTTACAAATCAACAAACCCACATGAAAGGTTATGAGTACAAAATGATAATAATAAATTAAATATGGATATTAATTGTTTGCAGTAACTAATCGGTCTTCCAACCCACAGTTCAGGGGTTCGATTCCCTCTATGGCTTTTTTTTTCTCTTTGGGAAAACTTATATCATTATAATAGAACTGGGGTGAGCATAAAAATGGCTCAGAGGTCCAAACCAAATTTTTGAGTTAACACTGAATGCAGCAAGAAAACCTATGGTGAAAATTTTATGTTTTCTTTGTACATTGATTTTACACCACTTTATCCTAAGATTTTATATTTGTGGGCTGTAATAAAATTACAGTTCAGATGCATGTGGCTGGCTGGCTGCCCTTTGCCTATCTGCCTTAGAATTATCTGCAACATAATGGAATACTCCCCCAAAAGGCCGAGATGTCTTTCATTAGCATTTGTTCAAAATGTGAACACTAGCAATTTGCTATATTAATGCTGATGCTATGATGATGACTTACTTTTTTGCCATTTCTATTATTGCAGATTAGACCCAATGGACCTTGATGCGATGTTGGCTGAATGTACTCTACTAAATGCCAGGACTGAGCTGTACCTTAGATTTGTTAAAAGAAGAGTTCTGGTAATTTACTTTCATCTCTAGACTAATTAAATCAAGTATCTTAACAAGAAAAAAAAAATCAAAATTTAAAAAATATTTTTATTTATATTTTATGTTTTCCTTTTAATGCAAACATTTTTAGCTTTTGTGCTGTTTTTTTCTTATACCATAATAAAATATAAAACTAATTTATATTTACTTTTCATAATTGAAAAGAGGCTGTCAACAGTTAGTTGTTGTGAAGCATTGACTTTCCCAATTGGATTATTTTAGTGCTGCAATGTAGAAATAACGAATCAAATGCTTTCTTACATACAGGCTGACATTGATGTCTCGGATGCTGACGAATCAAAGGCCCAAGAGCATACCAGCGACCTTGAGAAGATGCTACTTACCTCTAAACTAAGCTGCAGCATGCAAGAGATCATTGGTAGTTATATAATGATGGAAGAATACTTCATGAAAGAGACAGTCAACAAGGCGGTCAGCATGGACAGTCTGGAGTCAGGCTCTCAGACGTCTAGTATGGTGGATGATGTATTTTTCATTTTGAAGAAGTGCACAAAGTAAGAGAAGAGATGATAATAATACAAGAAATAATTTTTAGATGAACAACATAACCAATAAATTAGACAAATTATCTGTTTTGTTGAACTAGTTAGTTGCTTACCTTAGCAATGGTTTCAGCAACTGCTTCGATCCTTTTCTTCAGGCTAACCAATAAATGTAGATCTCTACAATGTAACTAATACTAGAAATTGCAAATTGCAAGTGAAGTGCTGCGAAGTACAACTGCATACATATGTTCTTCGAACAAAATTATTTATGCAAGTCAAGTGAAAATAATGAATAATAAAAATATAACAATAACGGAGACAAGACCCATTGTCTATATTAGAACAGCGTTGGTACCGTGTACAATAGTGTTTTGCTGCAGTGACATCTCGCTGCTGGCGACTCGCTGCTGCTGGCAATGACTCGCTGCTGGCGAATCGATCTGCGCATGTGTATAAAATGGTATTTATTTCTGAAAACACTGTGTATGCCAGTCTACAACAAGCGTCGCCTAAATGTAATAATTAGCACGTTGAAATAGGCTAGTACAGTAAATAAGTTTAACTGGGTTCGTAAATAATATTGGCCTCAAAATATTGTGGCTGAGACATGGGCCGATTAAACGTAGAAATTGGAAACCTAGAAATATAGTAAAAACGCTGAATAGTAATACTCCAGCGTCGTGACATGCGGACGTTGGTACGAGTAGGTTAGTCTACAAACGTCGCCTAAAGTAATTGATTTTACCCGGCAGAATGAAAGAAGGAAACTCCGCTTTTCAGTTGTCAAGGCCCTTGTTTTTTGACAAACAATGACCTTCCAGAGGTAAAATTGCTGTCAAGAATATGAATTGGCTGCTTCGCAGCAATTACAGACAGAACACAATTGCAATGTTATAAGGCACAACGCTTGTGAAACCAATATGTGGAACAGTCAAAAAGTCTTTGGACTTCAAAGTCAGAGTCATTAGTACTTGTCAATGTGGTTATGAAACTAAATTATATGTTGATTTAATTCTTTTTTATTCTTGTTTTATTATTTAGACGGGCTATTTCAAGTGCAAGTGTTGATTGTGCATGTGCAATGGTCAACCACACAGCGTCTTTACTAGAGTCTAACTACAGAGATGTACTTTATTCAAAACTGAGGACAGGCTTTCCATCTGGTTCCTTTGATGTTACACAAGCTTATAATTTACTTCAACAAGGCAAATTTCCCACCTCAACCTCTGACACAGATGCTGCAAAATTAGAATTCCTTGTAAGATTATCAAATTTTCATAAAAAATTTAATCCATTTTTTTAAATTATCGTACTCATGTAGTTGGTTGTGACTGTATTGTCTTAATTATTTCTTTGCAGACTACTTTAAACAACATAGAAGTTAGCCTTGAGTATACCCAGGCCTTGAAGAAGAGCATCACGGAGGAGTGCGGACTGCTAATAAGTCAGGGAGCTGGAGAGGTCGGCAGGGCTAAACTGGATAGCTGCATCTCAGACCTAGCACAGTTAAATCACAAATTCAAAGATGTTCTAGATGTAAGTTAATTTCTGCCCTGTTGTGTTCTGTAAACTTTTAAAGAGACAACAAACTGCAACCAAACTATTTTGTAACATGACATCCATAAGATTGGTTTCTTTTATCTTCTCGGGTCTTGCCCTCTTCCTTTCATTTGTCTATTAAATTTTCATTATCAATTTTCTGCATTTTCAATTTATTTAAAAACCATTGTATTATCTCTGTTAAAAAAGGAAGTAAATAAATGTTGAATTGAATTGATTCCCCCAAACCAAGCTAGGTATTGTTTTTATTTGGAGACATATATCAGGATTAAGACAAAAAAAAGTGAACTAAATCACTTTCTAGCTGTTCTCCGATGCCAACATTATTGTGTCATCTTCAGAAACAATAAGCTTGAGATAACTTAGTTGTAAATGAACTATAAATAAAGTAAAACACACCATTGTGATTCAACATCTTGACCTTTGATGAGGTCATCATTAGTATATTTTAAGCAGCACCGCATGTGTTTTTTTTTTCTTTTCAGTATGGTCTAAGTCAGCTGAATACAAGTGCAATAAAACCAAGGATCAAACCATGGGTGGATAGCTACCAATCGATTAGTCACAGTATCACAGAGGAGGAGTTCTCCAATTACGAAGCTAACGATCCTTACATTCAAGAATTTATCATGAATTTAGAAACACTTCTACTCTCTTTCAAGGTACTTTTCCCCTAACTGTTTTAAGTCTGTTTAGTTCTTGATATTTGCTAATGTTTGTTCTTTTTCTGCCTTTTTGTTTTTTAAAACTTTTCGTTATCCTTGGAGAATTTTTGATTGTGTTTTACTTTATCCTAAAATGTTAAAATGAATTATAAAAAAGTTATAAATTGAAAATAAAGAGAAAAAAACTATGAACAGTGGCGTATCTAGAAGTCTTGAAATGGGGTGGGGGTGCTAATGGGGGCGTGAAGGTGAAGTAGGTGGGCTCAATAATTTGGTGAGGGGACGCTAGCTCACAAAATAGGGTGATATGAGGGGATTTTTATCTACATGACTGTAATTTTTGCGTGGGGCATCTGGGGGGGCGTGAGATTTTTGGGGGGGGGGGGCGTACTCTACCTGGCTTCCCCTTAGATACACCACTGTCTATGTATGGTAGACAGTAGTAAATAGTTTTAATAATATTGTTTAGCGAAATAAAAACAATCAGGTTTAGCATGGCAATTAATTATGAGCAGTGTATATTTGAGATCGGTGCGTATTTAATGGTTTATGGTTGGACTGTTTTCATAGATGGTGGTTAACATATAAAATTGCCATTTATACCGAAATGTCTGATTAGCTTATTCAAATTTATTTCCTGTTTCAGGAGTCATTAACATCTTCAAATTACGATGCTCTCGTTAGCTTGTTAACAACAGCTGTCACAGCACAATTAGAGAAAACCGTTCTTAAGATGACATTTAACAGAGTAAGTCTAGACAATTTAAGTTATTTGTATGCATTTTAATTCGATCATTGTAATAAAATGATATCATTAAAGATACATAACCTATCTTGAGCTATCAAACTTGAATAATAAAATGCAAATGGAAAGTTGTTTGCTTTTAAATTTAAGTACTGCAAGTTGTTAGCTTCCAATTAAAAAGTAGAGCAAGACAATGTTTTCCTTGCCTATAAACCAGATGCATAGATAATAATGTTCTATATTCTTTACATTGAAATTTAAATTCCCTGGTAATCAATTTAAAAATAATGTTCATTGTAAAAATCTGTAAATCAGTGGAAACTAAAATTATTTGATCTAAATTGGAATGTTTTAATTGAAATTTTAATGTTTTTTCAAGATTTTACCAGAGTTATATATAGTTACATCAATGTATTGATGCTTTCTTAAACTGTTTATTTTTTCAATTTTTTTGTGGTAAATGATTTATGGCAACATCATGCCCAAATATAGATGTGATATGATATCATTCTGCCCATATATGGGTCTTTCGCCTTTAAGCAATCTAACTATCTAGCCATGGTTTATATGTTTTGTTTGTATTGTATTATCTAGTGAAATAAACGATATGATATGATATATGATATAACATATATGGTAAATAGAACTTGATAATGTCAAAAGAATTTTAATGACTTTAAATGTGGATTATTTTGGCAACATATTTATCTCAACTGTATTCATTTATTTCAGCTTGGTGGCCTTCAATTTGATAAAGAGCTCCGGTCGTTGATTGGTTACTTAACTTCTGTCACTCAGTGGACAATCCGAGATAAGTTTGCGAGGCTCTCACAGATGGCAACGCTTTTGAATTTAGAACGAGTAAGCATCTCTTAATCTATGTTTTCCTTCCTGCTATATTCTTTGTAGAAATTGGCTATAAAATAAATCTGTTATTCATTTATCTTCTTTTGTAGTATATAATAAAAAGATTTTACTATGTATTTTCGAGTAAATTGTGTGTATCATCAATGTTTTATTAAATGCATTTTTTAAATTATTATCATCATTATAGTTTTTATTTAAATACTATCATCTTATAGAATATATATATGTAGCTGTATATAAAGTTTCAGACTTAACATGAAGTGGTTGATAAGATACTTGCCTTCTAATTCCACTATTAATATTTTATAAATATAATATTATGATATTAAAACTTGCTTGTCTTCTGAACCCAAGGTCATAGGTTCGATTTTCTTCTCAATAAAAACCTCCATAAGAGCATCAATGGTCCCATATAGTCAGTTTTGGTGCAATAATAAAAATATAAATGTGATTTTTAGTTTATCATATAATAATGTTAATTTTCCCCTTTTTCTCTAAGGTCACTGAAATCATGGACTACTGGGGCACTAACTCTGGACCTCTGACCTGGAGATTAACCCCAACTGAAGTTAGGCAAGTTTTATCATTAAGGTAAGTTTAGTAGGAACTACCAAATTTGTGTTTTTTTAATTTGATTTCTCTTCACATTAGATTTATTATAACCGTTTAAAAAATATATGATGTTTTATTCCAGGAATGATTTTCGACATGAAGATATTAAACGGCTGAAGTTATGATGATTATGTGTCATGATTCAAAGAGGAATGTCATAGAACAGGTCATCAAGTTGGTTACCATGGTAACTGGATGTGCAGATCGCTGATTGACAGCATATCAAGTGGAAGAGAGTGCGCACAGACCAAAGCGAATATAGAAAGCAGGCGAAGGAAAGAGAAACCAACTTGGTAGGGTTTGTATAAGTTCAACATCAAAGGATCAGATGATGGATAGAAATTTGACAGAAGTTGTTAGTAACCCTTCCCCAGGGAGAAACTGGTGCCACAGTTAAGCCAGACACACTACATCGGCTGATAGTCGTACGTCCTCCGCTACGGATCCATCTCCGCTATCTGAGCATTTGACTGTCTGCTGTGGTTTTTGATTGCAGTCGGCCGATCGTTAAAAATTATCAGTTTGCGCGTTTCATTGTGTTCCGTTGTCCATGGAATCGTGTCGATAATGACGCTGAGTATGCTCAGCTTAAGTATGAGAAGTACAATCACTTGGCTTTAGAGTACAGTACACATTCCCACAGTTCTTTCAACAAAGATTAGTGAAAAAAGTAACCAATACAAAAATAAAACACAATCTCTATGCAAGTGTTGTTAAACTATGAGATTGTTTTTATTCTTTTTTTTTTTTTCCAATCTTGGTTGTATGTCATATTTAAGGATTTTTTTTTTTACTAAATTAATTAAATTGCTGTACTTCGAAGATCTTTTGCTTAAATATTTCCCACCAATTTCATCATTCATATCATTTGTACAATCTGTTATTATTGTACTTTAATTTAAAAATTACTTTGTAGCCCTAGTTACTTTTCTATAAACCCTTTTTTACATCAATTTCTACTCTCTTATGTATCAATTTTGTTAATAATTATAGTATTTGTCATTGTTTGGCTATCATTTTTGAAGGAGCAAAAATTTTCATGTATAAAATTTCATTAAAAATCAGAATTCATTCCATTCTGCCATTTTTCTATTTTCGTTAATATTTATGTTCACAATGCTATGCAGCATTTGTGATATTTACTATGTTGACCTGTAATTTCCCCTGCAGCAACAACAGCAACAGAGTGTTGTCTCTGGCTCACCTCAGCTCCACTTGCGTCCAGATCACCTTATTTTGCAAGCAAGCACCTCTCACATAACCATCAAGCATCCCCTCCAAGTTTAGCTTTGTTCCCCCATTGACCCCTTTCCCCATTGCAAGACTCCTGATACTAAAAGGTCTCTGTGGTCTAGCAGTATGATACCCACTTTAACAGCAAAAAGCTATGGGTTCGAATCAGACAACTGGTAAGGAATTTTCATTGATGGGTTATGCTTGTCTTTGTCATTTCATCACTTGTTTTTTTATTCAAGAACTATATATATATATGAATTTCAAATTAGGTTTGATGCATAAATATAGAATTATATTTATATATCTATGCGTGTTCATTACATACTTTATTTTCATACTTTAAATATATTGTTTTGTCACTTGTTTATGCTCGCATCAGTTTATCCACTTTCTTAATAACATAGGACTCATGGCCATGAGCGGATTGCGAGGGTTAAGCCATCCCTACTTTTGGAAAGTAAATAAAAAAAGAAAGAAAAAGAAATTATTGATCACCCAAAATGCCTCAGAGGTTATTTCTGGGTGTCTGAAAAGAAAAAATTTTCCCGGGGATAACCCTAGGGTATTGTTTTTCAATCAGCTGCCCCTTTCGGAAATCTCTGGATCCGTCTCTAACGGCTACCTGGGATAGATCCATGTAGAGAGCCTGTGGGTTAAGCCGACAAGCCTTCATTTTGGTTGGTTTTTTTTATATGTTTTGCTCAATAAAAGGCTCCACTCGGCTGATTTGAGGCAAAATGAAAAATGCTGATGAATATATCTGGGCCCTGTGAAAGTCTGGGGTTCTGGGTTTAGCCAGTGAGAGCTCATAGCTCTTATGCCACTGCTTCAGTTGAATGATACCTACTGTTGCAAACAATCCTTATAAGAAAAATCGCACAAAAGCAAATGAATTAGAGATATGATATTAAATGATAGCGTTTGGAGAGTGATATAGGAGGAGCTGATAATAAGCATGTTATAATTCGTGAATCAATTTTTGTAATCTCTTGAAATTACCTTTCCTGATTATTGCATCTCTAAGAGTATTTGTTTACATTTAATTATATGTGATTTAATTTTATAGGGGTATTAAAGTTTAATGTAAATGTTGCTTCTTTTGCATTGCAAATGCTGAAATTTATGTTTTTGTTCAAAGTAATAAGTAGTTCAATTTAATATTTCTAATGATCATCGAAGTGCATAACAGGAAAGACTAGCAACACCCCTCGAAAATATTAGAATCGCCCATCATCGTTTTAGGGTGGGGTCGAGTGGACTGTAGTGAGCTGTTCATCTCTAGTATGCACTTTACATGAATACATTAGTGGCGTATCCATGGGTATTAACAATGGGGATGAGAAGATGTTTAGTTACTTCAATGTATTTATCTTCGCGCAGCAAATTTTCAGTGGGAGGAAAAACATTGATAGGACTTTTCCCTCCCCTCCTCGTTTTTCTTATTTACATGTCCACTGGCATGCATAGAATTAATTGGTTCGGCCGACACGAACTCTATCATCGCCCAACCCATGTTGTGGAGCTTAAGGGATGCCCAATGATTACTTATCATTGTTAATTCATTTTTAAATGTTTGAAACATCAGCTTGCATCTTCTCGAGAAGTAATCAGGATTTTGAAATCAATTGGATTAATCGATTATTTTGAATTAAATACTGTAGTTTTTTTTAACTGATTTTAGTAGAAAAATTACTTCATTAGACAGTATTCCTATTTAAATAAATAACTCATTGTTATGTATATGTTTATGGTAATGAAATATTGTTATCTAGATTATATCAATTAATTGTCTGTTACGAGAATTTGCCATAATGTAGTATAATAATAAGAGTAATGGTATTGTTTGGTGGGAAGTCTTTGTTATATTTCACTTTGGTAATTGGGTTTCTCATAAATTCATAATAATTCTTATAATTAATTAACTCTATTGGTTTGTTTTCTTTGCATGCGTTACCATTGCCATGGTATCGCTCATGTGTATTCGTTGTCATGGTATCCAACAACCGATTGTTACTAGTTGTATAAAGTGTAAAAAACTATGGTCAATGATATTTTATTTAATATGAAATTACATTAGAATAATTTTCAAAGAAATTAATAACTGGATATTTACAAGATATGCTGTGTTCTTTGTATTATTACCGTGTGTACCGTATACATTAAAACTAGGATTTGAGAACTCAACAGGGAGTGCCGTACCTAAAAAGGGAGGCCTCGAGCGATCATATTAGCTTTAGTAACAACAAATACTGATGGAATGGTGGGTATTTACATTACAGTACTCTATTCCTATAGATTCTTTCCAACTAATGTCGAAGGGTTTTCCTGTGTCGACAAACTTAATAGCTGTAAAAATATGACTTACAATTCAGTTTTTTAAAATTCGTTAGGAAAACCTAAAATTGAGTACTTCAAACGGTACTTTGTCCAACCTTTTTAAGAACAATATGCAAAGAAATGAACGATATTGACAATTTTGATAATTTATGCCACTATTAGAATTACTATTTTTCTTTTGAATTGAAATCTTAGGGGTTTAGGCCTAACTATAAATGATGAGATGTACGAAATTCAAATTAAAACTTTATTTCTCGAGTTAATTAAGCCCGGCACACAATGTTTCCGAGAAATTTCACATTTTTTGTGTTCGTCATTTAACAGCAAAGAAAGTTGCCAATTACGGATTTGAAACAATATAATAATTTACAGTAGGCAAGCCTACAAACTTAACGCATTAAGAAAAGGTAAAAGGGAAAACTATTTTAGTAAAGGCCTGATGTAGGCCTATTTAGAATAACAAAATAAATAATATATAGTACACATGTTTTGTAAAATTGTGAACAAAAATACTGTAGGCCATGCTATTCATCTTCATGGTCGTTGATACAACCTCCCCTGCGTCATTATTCATCACAAAGTACGACGTCACAATCATGTTTTCACTTTTTAACTAACTACAGTGTTGTATGTCACACTACATAAGATGAGATCGTTAAGTCCGAGTATTTCCAGCCACCGACATCAGTTAAAAGGAAGTTGCCTACGTCCACAATTTAGAACTGCAGGTGGTCTCCGCCACTTGCAGACAATAATATTCTACTCGTCATTCGAACGCTTTCATGTCGTCAACGTCAACAAAAGAAATCCCAAAGAATCTGTCGTTAAGTACAAGTACCCTGCAGTTTGGAATTGATTCATTCCAAATATTTAAGTTTACGGCAAATAAGGAGCACAAATATCTGAGGGTGAAGCAAAATCGTGTTGGTTTACATGACTTATTAACAGAAATATATGGTAACGATTTTATATTTTGCTCTATCGTCATCGGCCGCGTTCGTGTTCTAATTCAATTTCCAATTGCCAGACGATACTGTTCCCATGGATTATGGATATGGTATTAATATGCTTACGTGTTTCGTATCCCGTTGTTACCTGTTGCTTTTGAAGCACCCACAGTATTGAGGTGAGTAGGTGATATTTTTCTAAAATGATTCGATGGTAGGCTTAACAATGGTGCTGATAGCAGGCTCGTTGAAATTGATAATGACAATGATGCTTGTGATTTGATAAATTATTTAGATTTTTATCAACATTTTTAGGCCTATCCCTAAATTTTACATTTTAGGCAAGGAATGCGGATTGCAAATCATTGACTTTAAGCAGACACTTTTTCACTAAGGCCCCTACACAACACATAACTTGGTTGTTTAGTTATGATGAAGATGATCATGATGATCATGATCATGATGATGGCAGTGGCGTATCTAGAAGTCTGGAAGTAAGGATGTTCATGGGAGTGGGGGCGCGAAGGTGAAGTGGGGGCTTCATGATCAGTTGATGGGTACTAACTCGCAAAATTGGGGGTGCGAGTAATTTTGATGGGGCGTGCTCCCCCGCGCCCTCCCCTATACGCCACTGGATCATGCCGCTGATGATGATGATGATAATATAGATGATGATGATGACGAGACCACCGCATATATTATATTCTTTGCACGTGGGCATACTGTACGGTATATTGTTAATCATTTTTTTTTTTGCAAAGTAAGAATCTACAAATCAGCGACCAATTGATTTGTCTCATACAATAGGATAACTAATTATTTGATATTTCTAAATGATCTATTCACTGTTTTAATTGAATGTTTAGGAGCTTTTAGATCGTATGTATAAAAACATGTTTATAGAGTAGGCCTGTATGAAATAAATTAGAACGGATATTGTTTAAAAATGTGGATCTATAACATAACACGGTGTAGGCATTGACAGTAAACGTATTCATACGTAAAAAAGTTTGATGTTGTACAGTAGGCATACACAGTATATAGGCTATGTTTATTCAACAGAGTACAAGCCACACTACATCGATCGTTGCCTAGTACAGTTAATTAGAACATGCGGCTAAAAATAGATATTAACATACACATCCAAACGTGACATAATAAATACAAATGACCTAATGTGAAGTCTAACCCTTGCTTGCTGTGAGCCTTTAATCATTACAATATTCAATTTCAGGGTTTCGCCGCGGGTCAAGTCTTCCATCAATATTGTTTCAGACGTGATGAATTGTAATGATAACTACCTACTAAAGATTCGTAAGCTTTTGATATATCTGGAAAACTGACGCACTTGGTTCACTACTGACGAATTTAGTATTCAAATCGTCACACAATGCGGTCGTTGCCGCCGATTTATATACCAACAGGTTGTAGTGTGTCAGAGGATGTACCAGACAGCTCAAATGGTGACTCTACAGACGACGATGATTCTTTAGACTGTTATTCATTGCCAACGTCTCCAGTGCGAAAGAACAGTTTTCAAGAGAAAGTATTATTTGGGAATAACACCAAGCATGTGGATCCACAAGAAAACATAATTGTATTTTCTCTTTCAACCGGAGGAATATTTATTTTTAAAGAGATAATTCAGGAGTGCACAGTGGAGTTTGCCAGAAAAAGGTTGGAGTTAGAGCTTGGCCTGCCATCTGACGCCTTTCAATTGACGTCGAACGACGGCAAGTGCCTCGATGAGACTCGTGGATCTTCTTCGCTTCGATTGGTAGATTGTGCACCGAAATCTGTTAATTTTCAAATTGAGATTTTCCCAAATTTAGAAAAGACATGTCGGTTAGCTTTAGAAGGGAACGTAAACGATGTAAGTAATATATGATTCCGGATTTTTATAACATCTTCACCTTCAGAATCATGTCATCATCATCGTTATCATCATCATTATCATCATCATCTTCGATTATTTATTGTTTTTCAGTCAACCTCCATCATCACCTCTAGTTTTCTTTTTCATGGCCTCAAGTGTAACTTTTTTTAAGTTTCATCGTTAGGCTATCATCTCCTGAAATGTGTTTTTGGTTCATTTTAGATCCTTTTGTCTGGAACGTTAGACATTCTTGGCACACCGTTCCTCAAGAGTCTCTCCTGCGCAGACGTCATTAGTGTGGCTATACAGAGAGCTTTCTTGATGATGTACCTGGCAGCAAATCGTGGTCATTTTAAAATTGTCGACACAATCCTAAAGAAAAGTAAGCCATCGCATTGTTTCATGTTCCGATGGCGCCAGTGGGGAAGGGCCGGGGACGGGACCCCTCCTCCGTTGAAGAGCTGTCTCTCAACTCCCGCTAAGGAGCTTCAATACAGATATTGGGGAAAGAAATATTTTGTGTCATTTTTTACATGAGACTCTAAAATTGATTAGATGAGCCATTCATATCCCAAAATTATCAGAGTTTTGGGCCCTCACCCTGGTCTACAAGGTATACTGGTTGTCCCTACCCCCTTAAACTTATACGCCCACCAGAGGCATCACTTCCCCATCGGAAACAATCCTCCACCTGTTTCGATCATGGTGCCTCACTGCGTAGTGTGACTTTATCCATCTGTTGATTATGGACTGCCGCACACTTCATGTGAAAGTAGGATAAATTTCACAAGTTCATCGACACTTCATAACAATATTGTTAGTGTTTATTTATTATTATTATTTTTTTTTTTTAATTACAGATATTGATCCCAACATGTGCACTCCGTTTGGTCGGACGCCGCTTCATGTTGCATCTTTTCATGGTCGACTTGACGTTGTGGAACTTCTCTTGTCATATGGGGCTGATGTGTTCCATCGAGATAATGACGGCAAAACACCCCAAGAAGTCTCTACAAGCAGAGGTTATACACAATGCATACGCCGACTGTGGCTGCATCGCTGGAACCTCCGACCACCACTAATGGTGCCGTGTCAGCAGAACGAACTTTGGTCAAACCCTTCCAGTCCTGGGCATCGTCATCTTCGCAAGACTACGTCATCAAAAAATGCAACTTTTGGAAATAGTTTCGTATCAATGGCGAGTGACGTTGTTAGGTTATGGCCCATGGAAAATGGTGGTCATCGGCTTCATTCCCCGAGGGAGAAGTATCCCCCCTTTCAGAAGATATCTCAGCCACCGTTTCCACCATGGCGTAATTCCAAAACGCGGTCCAAATGGAACTCTTATAAGCTCTTGTGTGTTAGTCACCATGCTGCCAATCATGACTCACGGTGTAAAAACACTACGACTGACACCAAACATGAATTCAAACGCGGGACTGTTTCAATATGTAGTGTTGTTAATCTCAATTCACCATACACATTGGCCGAAATTGTACCAAGACGAAATTACGAATCCGATTCCCTAAGTGATACTGCAACGAAAGAAGAACCCACAAAGTAATTACTTACATAACTTATTTAATTTGATAATGAGTATAATACTGATTAATACCGTAGTCATTTAGCTACTATTTTGTTCCTGTTTGTGTGTTTTTGATATATTTTACATTGTGTTTTTTTAATTTCAGAAATTCCCAAATTAATCAACAGAAATTAATGAGGAAACTAAGGAACGTTCATAGACCAGTGATGACAAGAGACGGAATCCAAACGAAAACTCCTCCAGACTTCCAGATGTGGCTACAGAAAAAGAACACAAAAGCAAAAGAAGAAGAGGTTGTAGAACTTGGAAGAAATGAGAAAACATTAAAGCAACAGCATGAACGCAAAAAACTGAGTGAGAGAGCCTACAAAGACTGGCTTAGTAATAAACGTCGACTCGTAAAACCGAAAAGTGAGACTGAGATATGAGTCGAATATTTTTGATTTATACATCACTAATGAGTGCTTGAATAAACAAATGGTGCACACCACTATTTAGTGTGTGCGACTGTTTGAAATGTGAATACCGAACTGAAAATCTGAGAATCTGAACTTTTTAAATGAAATAATATAATACAGATAAACTCTAAACTATAAACTATATAGCTTTAATCATCATATTTACCTATTTTTATATATTTATATTTAGGCTTATATATAGGTCTGTGTATAGGTTTATATATATAGGCCTATCTGTTACTGAGAAAGTGTTACCGATAGTTTCATGTGTATTATTATACCGTTTGATATATTGATATAACTAATATATAATCATATAGTTATATAGTTGTGTCATGTCAGAAATCCATAATTTCCTTAATAATTTACTTTATATAATTATATAGTACAATTAACTGTTACGGTAGTGATTGCGTATATATAGAGACAGTATAGATTTAACGTTTCTGTAGCCAAGTGCATCGTGTGTTTGATTTTATTGTTTAAAGCACTTTACGAAATGACATGAACCATAAACATTGCGTAAATCAAACGTCACACGTCACGTGACTCTAGTTCAGAACACCTGACACACATATCTAATTATTACAACTACACGCACGACTACACGATCTAAATTATTTTTGTAATTAGTCACCAAATCAACGCAAGCTGGACCAGGGTCATACTCTTAAGAAAGTAGGTCTTTATTTGGCTATCACTGATGTTTGATAAGTTGATTGCATCATACAAGACGTTTGTATATTTCCATTGGCCAACATCCTGAACACCGTTGCTTTTTAGATTAATAGCATTATGTTAAATTCATAAAATATTTAAAATAAAAACAAGGAAAAAAAACATCATAATATATAATTACCGTATATAATAATTCTATGACATGTGATTCTAGCATTTTGTCTATTTTCTGATTATATTAAACTCTATAGGCCTATTAGTAAAATTAGTATTTTATATTTCTTTTGCTTATTTTGACTTACCTGGATCATCATCATCATCATCATCATCATCATCATCATCATCATCATCATCATCATCATCATCATCATCATCATCATCATCATCATCATCATCATCATCTTCATTATTATCAGTATCATCATTATCATCAATATCATCATGAATATTTTAGAATCGTTTATGAGTAACAATTGCACCGCATAATGGTTGGGTCCTGTAGTACGAACCAAACGCCCTCTTTTTTGACTGTTCATATTTTGTTCGGGCACAACTAAAAAAATGTTTGTAAATTTTTCTGTATTTTTCAGAAAACCTGTAAAACTTTAAGTGGCTAAGTTTCCACGTCCCCTACATCATGCCGCAAAGCGTCATTTTATTCTACTACAATTGCCGAAGTCACTAGGCCTCATGTATGGGTTACGGATTAGCCTACATGTGAGACGGAAAAGCTTGTGTAGGCCTATAACGTCATCGCATAATTATCTTCTTCACAGTACGATAGAACATGTTAATAACATTCCATACTGAACTATGATGACAAGGTCTATAAATAATTTCGTTGGTATAGTGCACCTATATAAATGCCGGCTTTCTGAATCTGCAGATACAAGCTGAAGCGCTAGAACAAGACTATAAGATAAGAATATTAGTACGTTACTTAAGAAAACATTCGGAATAACAAAATAAGTTGCCACTTTTGTTCAAACTCAAGAAGATGTTCAGGATTACAGTGAATGGTGGCCGACTGACTGATGACGGGGAGCCGTTTTCTTTTTCGCATGATCCAAATTTATTGAATGTTCGTCCAAAGCTTTTCGATTACCCTTTTTTAAAGGATTTACCAATTTATCAGGATATAGCTAATGAATTGTCAAAGGAAGGCACGAAAAGTGACGAAAATGACATTGCTTCGGCAACGGCGAGCGATGATGTTTCATTGGACGCTTCTCACGATCCCTTTACAATTTCAGGCCTACATTATCCATTTGGTGATTCATGGTTTAAGGAACTACCAATCTATCGTCTTATGAAGCAAGAATTTTCAAAGAATGACATAAAACGCTCAGAAGAGGAAAAGAAAAGTGCCACAGTGACGCAATCCAAAGACGCTGCAACCGATAACAGGTTCAGAGTAACATTCGAAACAGGAGACTTCGGACCTGAGGAAATCGACGTGTCGCTCGACGGTGACCGTTTGAAAATTCACGGAAAAAAGACGGGGCCAGATGGGTCTCGCGAGATGACCAAATGGTACAAATTGCCAGAGAACATTAACACCGATGAGTTGACATCGAGTCTTTCTCGAGACGGCTTGCTTCAAGTGACGGCACCATTACAAGAGTCTCATGAGGCGGAAAAGAATGACTTTCAAGTGGAGGTACCACTAGAAGAATTCAAGCCTGAACACATCAATGTAAGCATAGAGGGTCGTAGACTTCAAGTGCACGCAAAGAAATGTGAGGAGAGATCTGGTCACTCTGCACACGAGGAGATAACCAGGTGGTTTACACTGCCAGAGAAGGCTAACACTCAGCCTGACGGTCTGACAACAACCATAAACGATGATGGATCGATGGTTATTCAGGTACCGTTAAACTGTGCTGTGGAATCACTTAACATATCTGGTGATAACTCAGGAACGGTTGCAGGATCCAGTGAGAATGTACCTACAGAAGGAGCTGCGACTGCACCAGACCAAAAGTAGAGCGTGACGTAGAACATACAGATGGGCAACAGTAATGTGAACAACTTTATGAATGGTATACAAAAATATTGATTACTGGTTGTAACAGTGAACTTAATGTTGGCAGTAAAAGTAACTTCTTAAAATTATTTCATGTTGGTGGATCCATGGTTGAAGATGTATCTTGCTTGATTAAAATATATGACTTGAGTGTTCAATAACATTGCTGCACACTTCGATACGTCACCAATCTGCCATTCGCATCCCTTGATGTACGTCGTCTCTGCGCACGCAACTGTTACATACAACGTGCACCGTGGTTGTGTGACTGTGGACATTTTTTTGTTTGCCGTAAATCTTCCGGATTAAAATACCACTGAAGCTCCCATGATTAATTTTGATCTTCTAAAATAAGTAACTACACTAACTACTATGAGTTCTAACCGTTCAGACAGTAAACAGAAAAAGTAAACGTTGTTACGTATGTATTTCTATTAATAAAAAATAAAACACACGGGTAGGCCATCCGTACCTTGTGAAGTTGAATATTACTAGTGGGTTAAATCATCTAAATATGCAGTGTTGGATCACAATGACAATACAATATATTAATTAATAAATATGTTTGATATTCCTATTCTTAAACACATTCACAACAATTTCGTTTGCGTTTTCTTACTTCGTATTTGCCAATGCAGTATCATCACGTCAGCTTACACGAGGAGCGCCATACTTATTGACTAGCTTTTTCATAATTTTAACGTGTTAGATGTTAAATCAGTATGGAATGCAACATTCTCACATGGACAAGACAATCAATAGAAACTACAGCTATTTAGAGAGGCCTACTCTAATATCTGTCTCTTATACACATCTGCGATGAACGAATAGCAAAAAGTCATTATATACTGTTTATCAGGCTGTTACAATTAAAACTGTAAAATGTATGTGTGAATGAGTAACAAAATTCCTACTAATATTGTAAGTAGTATTGATAGAGGGCGGGCTATTGATATCATTCATCTCGAGGCTAGGCTGATGTGTGTGTGTGTGATGGTTGGTTGAGGTCGGGTGTGTAGGCTGCCTAAGGTCATCATCTAAAAATAGTGTAAAAGATCCTTCATTCTCGTAGTGTTATGGAAAATGGCAGATGATTTAACAGTTCATATTCGTGGATCCGACCGTTTCAATCCAATTACATATCAGGGTATTAATAGGTAAGCACCTGGTGTAGTATAGAACGGAAATACGATTTCTAGAAAGAATGACTGTGATAAATCTTGTGTTTTGCTAGGCCTACCACCAAGTACCACCGCCAATACACTACTCTACTCACCACTGCCAGTCTCGACAGCTAAGCAAATAGCGAAGTGGGTCTCTTTGCCTAGGCTTAGCTAGGCCTATATAATTTCTCAGATAAGTTCAGGCCTTATTTATAAAATAATTCCCGATTAAGAATAGTTTGTTTTTACTAGCCTAGAGAGGCATAGGCCTAGGCCTATTCTGTATAATAATTATTTATAAAATACAGAGTCAATTTAATTGTATAATGTTAATTAATGTACTTTTTAAAGCAAAAGATTGGGCACTAATAAGGTTTCGCATCCGGCCCTTAAAACGGTTACCAAATTATTTAAAACTTACAATTATTCAACACTAACATGTTCTTTGATGATTTGTTTGACTTTCATATAATCCACTTATTATCTGATAATTATGGTTTCTAATTAAGTTAATTAACAAATAATTAGGATGGTGTATCGTTACTGCCCTCGTTACTAACTTCCAATCACTCAACACAATTAATTCCGCACCACCGTCAGACGACTGGAGGTTTCCAGGGTCTGTCATATAATCTCTGCCCAATTGCAATTTTATGACTTTGCTGATAATTATTATTATTGTATTTTGCTTGATGATGATAAAATAAAAGTGAAATGTAGAATAAAATTTTGAGTGACATTCATACTATTTCCATTTAATAGGCACGTTTAAAGTCAGTGCACATCTATGGCTACCACGCTATGATGTATTATGTACAAACACTGATTCTGGCAACACCGCAAAGTTGTTGACATACTAGCCGGGTACAGTATGTAAGACGGTGCACCGCAAAGATATTAACCGTCCTAATTAATGTTTAATTAACTTAATTAGAAACCATAATTATCGGATGATAAGTGGATTATATAGGAAAGTCAGATCATCAAAGAATCTATTAGTGATGAATCAATTTTACGGCCAGTTGCGAAACCGTATTAATGCCGAAGATTGAAGTTACATAACAACATCGTGCCATGTATAGCTTAGACCCTAGTACTGAAACAAGTGGCATGCCATGTAGGCCTGCCGCCCTAGTGCACTAAGATAGCAAGGCTGAAGTTTAAGTTGAGTAAAGCCAGCTCCACCAATCAAGACCTCAGATATGTCAGGTTATCGGAACAATATCCATGGCCTAGAAATAAACTAGCTTTTTTTTTTGTGTACTACAAGCCACACCACTGTATATTCATTGTTTTTAATATGAATGATTGCCTCCGTGCAGAAAAAAAATAAGTTGCCTTTCACATAAAATGTGTTCCCTATACTTTCATTTAATGCATCTTAACAATTTGTAGACATTCAAAAGAAAAGATTTTTATTCTTGAAAATGCATCCATAATATTAGTATAATTATGGACAATAATGAGCCATGCTGAACTAGTAATACTACTGTATATTGACGTGTATATGGTACTACAATCACCAACAGAGCCAGCAAATAAACAACAGAATTCCTCTATTGGTTCTTGTTTAAATCTGCTTCAAAATTAAAGAGTACTTTTTGTGGTATCAACACCCTTTTGGATGGTATTTAATTGGCCCAATTCACATCACATAAAAATTAAAAATCAAAATGTGAAACTACTATTACTCACACAAACCTAAAAAACATTGTCTCCCTTGCCGAAAAATTTGGAATTCAACAACATAGTAAATTGAGGTTAGGGATTCTCCCATAGAAATAGATTCCATGGTTTTGTAATTTAATTTATAATAATTATTCTCAAATGTTTTTTTCCCTATTACACAAAGGATATGATTATGCTTTGGTATATATAACATGACAGGGTAAGTTATTTAGCAACTTCTGGTGTACCTTTCTGGTGTACTACTACCTTTGTCTTACCTGCTATTATATTGTGGCCATTGATATGGGTTGAATTGTGGCATTACCGTAAGTGCTGTATATTAGTGTTACTAAACTGTAATGCTGTACTTTCGTTAATATTGCTTTTCTGAAATTTCGTGCACAAGTTGATGTTCTCTACTACCCCTTCCCCATTCTATGACAATTATTGGATTTATTTTTAATAATTGTACTAAATTTTAATGTAATAATCGCCCAGTGTATTTTATTTTATGGATATTTTTGTTTATTTTTTTTAAATGATAACAAAAAACTGGCTGATGGTTCTGAAATGTCTACCATGTTGAAAAAAACAATTGTCGTGTTGCCAAACACTATTACAGTACAACTTAAATTAAGGGTTCATCCTTCGGTCAAGATTTTATGTTATGGTTAAATATTTTTTATTAATATTCTAATTCTATTATCTCACCAGAGCAGCTCTATTATATTTAGTCCAGATGCTTTTATCTGCTTTTAGAATATTGAGTAGTCTAGGTGCACAACGCTTGACATTGATAAATCAATGATGAAGTTTGACATTAGATAGTAAATTCTTAGCTATTTATTATCATTATTAGTAGTATTTATAATATTAAAATCAAAATTTAGCAATAATAAGCTGGTCTTACAGTAGGTAATAAGAGGCACTTTACATTTAATTTAAGACAGAAAGAATTTTCCTTTTTAATTACTGTGCCATTTGTTAGTTTTTTTAAATTAGGGTTGATATGATTTTTTTAATGCATAATAAACTATAGGCTACCATATTGTTTATTTCTATAGAGGGTGATCACTTGTCACATGGTACAGTGTATTTGCAGTTAGTAGACACCTGCATGACTCATGCAAGTATTGAACGGTTCGTCTTGTAAATTACATCATGTGACTTCCTTTTAGTAGATGCTATTTTCTTAACTGTTCTATCTAAGCACATTCTAGAAGCTGAGAGCAATTTCTGAAAATCACTTAGGGGCCATTTTTATTATTACAGATAAAAATTGTATTATAAAAATTCCAATATTTCATCAATATTTTTTATGCATTAGTGAAGTGATTGTATTTTTAAATTTGATTCACTAACATGATTCTAATTAGTAAATTTGTTTTATTGCATTATTTTTTTTCTTTTTTATTTACTTAAGTGTTTTCCATTCGTATCATTGACTTTTTTTGGCTCTCTGTATCTGTTAGGCTCTCCTTGTTTCGCTGTAAAAATTCAGCTTACTGTACATACAAATTGCACTCAATTTCTAAATTGTGCTAAACATTCTGTAACCATGTAGTTATTTTGTAGGTTAGAAGATAAATTAAATCTACCCAACCTTGACATTTAAGCATAGTTACATCTCATAGATTAGATGAATTATATACTGTTTGCTGAATACTCTTACTACAGTAGAACCCCTATTAAGGACACACTTTATAGGACCAAAGCAAGTGTCCCCTTAAGATGGGTGTCCCCCGAATATGTTTTGGCTATAGTGTTAAAAGATATACTTTCATTAGCTTTGTGGCCGAAAATGTGCCCCCTTTAAGGGGGTGTCCCAAAGGAAGGGTTCTACTGTATTTCATGTTTATTAATATTTTTTATTTCCTCAGGTTGATCTGTAAATAGATCTAGACACCTCTTTACTCTCTATGTCTGTATTTTTTTAACTATTATGATTTTTATTTCTAAATATTTCCCATTTTATTGTTATTTTTGATGTGTTTTCTCAGATCTTTTCAAGCAATTAGCGTAGCAATCTCTGTAGTACCTGCTCTGGATACAAATTAACAAAAACCCATCTGCTGCTTATAATTCGATAACTCACGGTACAACCATCAGCAGGTAGCGTACACGGATGCTGCAAGTAGTCATGTGCACCCATTTTCCATGCAATGCTGTTTCTGTGTACTGCATACGGCAACTAATCCCAATTGCATAATAACATAACATCTAACATAATACACCAGCTGTAACTTTTTCATTGCTCTTCGATGTCATGTTTTGTTAGTTCAAGTTTCTGTAGAATCTCTAGTTAAATTCAAACTTTTAATAAAAACTTTTCCTTTACATACAAAAAGGGATAAAAGCTTTTAATAATGAAAGGGGACAAAGAGGGGAGAAGGATTTATTAATACATTCTTAACTTTGATGATCTATCCATCTGATGAAAACACATTATTTAGTCATAATTTTTTTATTATTTTTAAAAATTACATTCATGCATTGAATGAAATAAAGGATCATTTTTAACACAAAAAGCAAAATTATATTTCATCCAAAATATATCATAAGTTTACAAAAAATAAAGTTTTTTTTTTTCATTTAGCAAAATAATTCTGCTAGTATGCATAATTATTACAAAATATAAGTTGTAAATAAAATGTTATTGATAGATAAAAAAAATGTGATTGTATGTAAGTAATTAACAGAGGCCGGCCATGCAGTAGTATTGCTTAAGATCCTATTGTGTAGTCATATAAAGAATAAAATTTTACGATGTAAACAGTTCAGTAATTGGATTGATTAATGCTTTAAATATAATTATTCAATTGTGAGGAAGAATAGCTTTCTTTTTTTCAGAAATTTCATAGCAGCTGGTGAGCATAATAAAAATAAAAAACAAATTATATATTTTTTTCTTATTTTTTCAAATTTTCTTGGCAATGTGAACACTTCAAAAGACAAAAAGATTATATTATATTTATATGTGAATTTGCCATTTTTGAAGGCAGAAAAACATTGCACTTAGTTTAGATTGAATTATGAATTAATTGCAGTGATGAACTCATAATATATAATATCCTGGTGCATAGCATGTATAATGCATGTAAACAAAGTCTCATTAAGTTTATAATACAGCACATGCACAAGATTCATTGCTAACTTTTGCTGGTAGTTAGCCAGTGTGAAAGTTATAGTAGTTAGCGTGGTAAGTCTGGATTCACATGTTTTCATTTAATAGTAAAGACGACCATCAGATCTGTTTACCTTTGTTTGGAGTAATGTATCAGGGGATGGTAGGTAGGGCTCATACCTTACAGAGACTTATACTGTGTCCTATTCTCATCAAGGTTTAATTCTAGGCTTACATTACAGCATATTTGTTGGATGTAGGACGTGTCCATAAACAATGTAAGTTTAAGATTCAAACAATTTTAATGTGTTGCTCGAGGCATCGATTGTTGGCTTTACAGTATGCAAGAAAACATCACAAAGCTTGCCATTCCAAAACCAGCGGTTATCGCTAATTGTTAAACTGAGTAATTTGCATACGGATGTGGCTGTATTGTATAATTTAGTGCAGAGAAGTCATTACATTTAGTTTTGCTCATAACTTTAGAAATAGTAAGTCGATTGCAGTAAATGATCCATCATTTTTAAGCTTTCAATGTGGAGAATATGAATATATTAAAAAGTCAATTTTCATTTTTCGTCAATGATGCTGGTTTTATGATGGGAAGCCACATATGTAGGCATACTATTCATTGAAAATAATAAAGATATAAAGAGATAAAAAATAAACAAGATCTGAATAGTACACAGCAACGCCAGTGAACCTGCCAATAATTTAAAGGCATCACAAATTTAGGCCTTGATGATTCATATTCTTTATAATAACCATTTAATTACCTCTTCTACAAATGTCCACTTGCATTGTAATAGCATCTGATGTCGTTAAAGCATGGGTCTTATCGGTAAGATGTTGGTCATCTGATTTTGAGTTCAACTCAGTTGACACCTTTGGCTGGGGAATAGTGGCGGAACAAGAGATTCTCCGACAGGGGTCCAAATTCCACCACATGCAGATCCAAAATCCTTGAAAGGGGGCACATCCGCATCAGTTCCACCATGGGTGGAGCATATTTTTAAAATAGTGTAGGCATCTCTAGACGCCCTGAAATAGCACTTTCTTCAGGCTATAATAAAAGTGCATTTTGAAAGCAATACTCCCCAACAGAATGACTGGTGGGGGAGTAGAGAATGTTCCAAATTGTGCATGACTGAATTACTAGGGTAAGCCTACATAGTGCATGGAAAAGACAATTTACATAAATAACCAAAAAATATATAAAGAGCTGATACTTAGTTGCATGTAATAAGGCGAAGATAAGTACTGTAATTTTCTTTCCAAATTAAAATTATACAGCTGATGCAGAAGTTATGGGTGAGTGGAATGATTTAAATTTCACTTCCCTTCATCTCTTTCCTCTGTAATACAATCTGGCATGGAGTAAGTCACTACTAAGTGTATCATTTCAATTTATTCAACTCAAAATTCTCTTCCCTTCCCCCTCAAATTTTAAGTTCTCCTTCCAAAAATACTTTGTATTCTTGACCACAACTTGTGAATATAAATGTCCTTACTTTTTAACAATAAACTATTACTTCGTAAAAGTTTAGTATAAAATATGTTTTTACCAAAACAACTTGTCATGATAAAATAATAGTATAATACAGGGATATTTTATACATTCAACTGCCTATTATTAATGATATATTATATTCTAATAATAATAGTAGTAGTAATGATTTAAGTTATGTACTGTAGTACACAATAATATACTGAATACTCAGTATGACCTTTGCACTTTAACCTTTACCCATGGATCGTATGCAAATCAATTGATATAAGAAAGTGGTCAGACACAGTCAAGAAAAGGATTTCATAATTTGTTCAGTTCAGTCTAATTGCATGAGTTTGATAGGATTAAATGTTAATACATAACACCATTATTTAATACTTTATTAAAAATATTGACAACTTAAAGTAGCGTTTAAACATATGACATTAATTATGATGATAGCCGGTAACTGCGTCTTAAGATCCTATACTCATTATGATTAACTGCATTGAACATCCTACAGTACTCATTTTTAACAACTAGCTTTATAGATTTGATTCGGAAATTACAGGAAGGAGAGAATCAAAACAACATTGATGTGTAAGAAAGAGACATTTTGCTGTCGTTGATTAATCTGTAAAAATTAAGTCAGAGATAGTTTTCGCACGCCTGATCCATATGGATTGCAGATTCTAGGTGGTTGACAGTAATAATTTGTCTTACGGTTTGTCATAGTCAGCAACAGTATTGCGTTGACCATCGGAATTGTCTGGGCCATTAATCTGCATAGGAATTATCTCAGCTGAAGGTATTGTCAAATCTTAGTCTAGTAATTTATTTTGTGTTGTTTTTGCCTTAATTAGGACTTAAGTGTTGATTCACAGAGATTAAGTTAATAGACTCTGTTTATTTTCTTTTGAACACCATAAGGCCAATAAAAAAAATTCTTGTGTTGGGTAGGTCGGTAGGAAAATTTTTTTTTTTTAATTTCATTTTTTTTTTCACCAAAAGCTGTTTATGCCTAAAAAGTAGAAAATACACAAAACTACAACAAAGACCATTTTAAAATCTATATTGAAGAGTAAAACGATCGCATAACACTGTCTATTCCAGCCTTTTAAGTTCATTAAAAAAATATATTTTGATGTAGAAAAAAAAAACAAAACTAAAATGCCGACTCAATTTCGAACATTTTGGGTCGGTTGGGTGTGGCCAACACAATAATTTTGTTAATTTTGCCTAATTAACAAAGGTTATTCATCCAACAAAGAATATATTATTTTGAACTTTCAATGCTTAATATTGCAAGGCTTGGGGAGTGGGGCTGTATTTAATGCAACAAAAATCAGGATTCCTCCCCCCTCCCCCAATCCATGAGTCGTCGGTTCATTGCTAGCAAATCCCATAATTTATAAAAGTATTTGAAACATGTTCTTTGGAATCAAGTAAAGATTCTCTTTGTGTGTCTCATCCGTTTAGGCCAAGTTAATATTAAAATTATTTTTAAGAAAAGGATTAGGTGCTTGAGTGGCCTTCAGATTTTTGTTGTTAATGCTGGAATCTAAATACGTTGACGAACATATGGAAAACTCGCAATGGAAAACTATTATATTATTAGTAATATACTATTCCTGTGACAAAGAAAGATTGTAATGCTAAGAAAAAAATCTGAAAGAAATAAATGCCAAAACACTACTGCTATGCACACTTAAAACAACAGGAACAATGTTCATTCTTCCATTATATTTATTTATTTCAGTGTATATCTAGCCACAAGCTTATCATTTTCAGAATCTTCAGGAAGTATGTCTAATAAAAAAGCTTCCAATTGCTAAACAAATATATATTGTGTGATATCCTAGCAACCATTTCATTACTATAGTAATTATTAATGAATGTAACAGGAGTTAATAGACTGATTCGGCTATGCTGGTTTACAGCCGGTCACATGACCGGTGTACCATGGAAAACATTAAACTGGGATCAGTGTGAAAGTATAGGAAAAAGTAATGTTATCGTCTCGAATCATTCACCCACTGTTAACGTGAGAATTAAATGACAAAGAAAGGCAATACAATTGTTCAAAATAGTGTTTGTTTACTTATTCTAGCATTCTCCTTGCATTGTATGCTTTGAAATTTATGTGATCCTTCGTAGAACTTAGCTAGCCTAAAATTGTAGCGTAGTTTGCAGGTCACAGACTCTCGTGCATACCAAATTATCGAAATATCTCATATTCCCTTGGATGACAAGTCACAACGTTTGTGTGGTGAATTTCAGGACATCAACAATCGACTTAGAGTAGCTTAAATTACATTTCAAAGAACAAATACAGCAATTATGATGATCTTGACAGCAATAACAGCTGCCATATCAATCTCCTCTGTGCCGGTCCATTGCTTACATCCAACACCAAAGTGACACCCGTCACCGAATCGCTCTATTTCCGTCACTACATATTTTTTAACCTTTCATATTTCATGAGCTTTGCAATAAAATTAGGTTTTTGAAAGATTAATTATAATTTTAGTAGTTTTAGTTTTTATTTTAGTTCTTGTACTTTTTTTTTTGACACCTTGATTGATTTTATTATTAACAACCTTTTAATCTACCTTGATTTCTATATTTCCTTATAAATCATGTATGGTTTATTTTTTAAACATTTGACCCTCCTTCATACTCATAAGCTTTGTAATAAAAATATATGAATCATTTGCAAATGGTTTCACTTTTCCTGTTTTTTGTCCTATTGTGTTTGTGAATTTTGTAGATGATCCCTTTTAGCATGGAATATGATTGTTAATGATCTAATCCCTTTTACTCTTAAATATCAGGTGTTATTTTTGATGCGTTGTTTATCTGTATGATTCCTTTCCTTTGGATTTGAATTTTGAAATGAATAAGAATATTGATTCTTCATCATGATTATAATATTACATTGATAATATTTCCAATATCTTATACTTGTTAATTTAGTTAATATTGAATTGTTAATGAAACTGATACTGTATTCAAGTTTTATAATGTTAATACCGGTATTAGAATTGCTAATACACTAACATTGTTTCCTTTTGTGTTTGAAAACTACTTAAACTTAAACTGTATTATGGTTGTTGAGCACTAAAAAGCAAGTAGAATTGGAATGATAACTAATACAGTATAATGTTATTGTTAATAAGTAAGTAATTAATCATGGAAAATCAGGTAATTGCTGTCTTTAATATACGGTAATAGTTTTTATCATATCATTTCATATTAAATTCAAATCAAATCCATATTTTCAAGACTTATTATTCTGTTTTAACAAGTTTTTGCAGTAATGTCATACATTGGATCCCATTTACACTTTAGACCAGGGCCAGCTTCAAAAGCAGACAGGGGGGCCAAACGCAGAGCCAGGCTGAATCCACATATAGAGACCAACTATAAAGATCAAAACTTGGTCAATTTTTTCCCTAAGTGTAAATGGGGTCATCACTGGGGTCATGATCATACCTCAATGCATTATAAATGTCAGAGAGGTCATCTGCTAATGCTGCATCGTGACCAATCAACAATGTACAGCATCATGGATGTTTATATTCTCAATTTATTTCAAAATATTAATATTGGGCTCATATGAAATCACCATGTGACTTCCTTTTGAATATGATACAAGTTTTAATTAATTTTCATGGAAGATATTTTTATGAAAATCATTAAACTTCTTATAGACTGATTTCTGAAGATTCCGCGCCAGACGAAGTACCACTGATAATGCACGAGGACGGATTTGAGAGTGAAAATGAGAGCCTTACTCGTAAAGGTGTGAAGAAACAGGGATGCCTTGCCCGCCTCTTCTGCTGTAGCTGGAAATGTTGTTGCAGGTAACATGTCTGTTGTATTGAAATGCTCATTCATAGGTATACCTAAGCTTTCTCCAAACATGTACCCATATATGGGCATGATGATGTCATATTACACCCAAATATGGGCATATCACATTTATTTGATAGTGTGAACATATATGTGGTACCTCATCATTATTATTATTTTATTATTGTTGTTATTATTATTATTATTATTATTATTATTGTTATTATTTAGTACTGATTGTTATGACACCTACATTGTATATGTGTTTTACATAATTCTTTGTGTGTACCCATAACAGCATATGTCAGCTCACCACTTTTTTAGGCCAAGTAAAAAAATAAATACTTTATTGAATGCATTTCTTTTTTTTCATAAATTACAAGTGTATTTAAAACCATTTTTTCCTTGAAATATTATTACACTGGCTCATACTGAATTGAGTCCTGATTATGCTTAATATATATTTGTAGTTGATAACAATTATTTTTCCAAACTGTTGCAAAGAGCAGTAGGTTTTCAGTTAATAATAGCGATGATGATGATGATGATTGAAGATAGAAACGATAACTATAATATAATTTTTTCAGCTGCTGTATAGCAATACACAGATGTTTCACAAGGAGCAAAGAGTTGCAACCAAGGACTGTGTGGCTAGGTCGCAAAGGACCCCACGAAGAAAATTATGCTGCAAACAAGATTCGCAATCAAAAATACAATATAATCACATTTTTACCAGTGGTGAGTAATTTCTAATCTCAAAACTAGACAATTATTTAATTATATTTTATTATATACAATTGTCGGTGGTTAAATGTAAAAAATTCCTAAACATTTATTTATTTATTCTGTCTTTATAGTGATAGCACTTTCAGTGACGTAGCACTGGTTTCACATGTAGATTACATGTACAACAAAAAAAAAAAAAAATGTAAAATAAATGCAAAAGAAATAAAAATCAAATGAACAGTAATTAAAAGAAAAATATAAACGTTTGAAAAGAACTACTTTAATTTGGACCAAAGCAAGAGAACATAACTTTCCATTGGAAATGAATAAAAATATTTTGTCAGAAATAGTATCAGTGGCGTCACGCTCTGGCGCTGACAGGGGTGGAGCGCTAGGGCCCCCAGGCACGAAGGGGGCCCCGACATTGTAGTTAAAAAAATATATAATATGAACTGTTCTGTTTTAAACAATAAAAGCTCAGTTCTGATTTTTGACATTTGTTCCTGATTTTGTGATCAATCTGATTTGCATTGTATATACGTTATGAAAACATGTTTTTTTTCACACTAAAATATTCCCTTTATTTATTTACACCTACATAGAGTACATAGGTCCTACTGGTAGGCCTATACCAGTTCCGAAAAAGTTGGCCTATGTAATCAATGTTGGTTTTGTCATAAAATTGTCTGAAATATTTCATCAGGCATGGACCATTCTATGTTCTCTGTTAACTCAGTTTAACAGTTCATAAATGACATAAGCTCTGAGCGTGAAAGTCCCCTCGGACCCCCACTAGGGCCCTTCACCCCATGGACTCCGTTCGGAGGTCTTATGCGTCCCCTTTCCACATGCGTCTGTTTGCTCGTTCCGCTCGAAAACTTAACGTTCGCTTCAATTACTTATTAGGGGCCCCAATAAGAGTCAGCGCCAGATCCCCACAAACTCTGTGACGCCACTGAATAGTATAGAATATAATAGTATTATACTTGTAATTATTTATAAATTGAGATTTTCTTGGATGTCTTAAACCGGAATTTTATGAACTATTTTTGTACTAAATTTTGTATACTAAATTAAGAATTATACTGTGCTGATGATACTTTATTTTACCTGAAATTTTTCTCATCTTTTTTGACTTTCTTTGGAATATTCTGTATATATTTTTATCCAGTTAAGTAAATTGATATCATGATATTTAAACTGTAATTTTTAAAATTTTTAAAATTTTTTTAAATTTTATTTATTTTTTTTGTTAAAGCTGTCATTCTGTGGAATTTTATTTGAATTTTTATTTAGAATTGAATCTAACTGTTGATATTTTTTCCTGTTTTTTGTGTATCCATGGAAACCAAATTTCAATTTCACTTGTACTATTGACAATAAAATTACTTTGAACTTTGAACTTTGAGAAGATTATACTTAAATTCATGAATTTGTTGAAAAGTATATTCAAAGAGGTTATGCTATGTACTAGTGTCATACCTACTCAAAGAGTATCAGAAAGTGTTGAGGATTAGGTATTTTTTTAGTAGTGGTTTGAAATGAATTTTTGACATTTAATATCTATTGATTTTATTTGAATATGTAGCAAGTCACTTCAGATAATATTGATCTAGACTCGTTTGATCAATACTGTAACATGTGGTGTGTTACTGTTGGTATACCATTGTATTAGTTTCTAGCTTAGACTGATATGAACTTTATAAAAATATTTGAATCAAATTACAGTTTCTGCTCCATTGAATATTGGAATAACACAAACTAAATCAAGTGACAAGATTTTCTGTCTACCAAAATAAAAATTTCACTTCCTAAAGTCTTCTTCCTTTGTAAAAACATTAAAAAATCCCATTAGACAGGGATACAGTCAGGGTTGTAGGTTTAGAAAACTAAGGGTGGTAGATGATTTAATAGTGGGTAGGTGATAACATTGGTAAACTCCAAATAATAAGAGTGGATTTTAAGGATGGGCAAGGTAGTTAATAAAGGTTGGTGGAAGGCCATGAAATTATAGCTTTAGACTTGGTGGAAGTGGAAAACTTTAAGGATAGGTGGCACTGCCTACCATAACTCTCTGTTTGTTAACATTACTTGGTATATCTGGCTAAAGTACATAATGTATTTTTTCTAAATATTGTTTTTTTTATATTTACAATTTATTTTTGAAGATATTATTTAAAAAATATATAAATTAGCCTTTGTGGATGTAAAATGAATGAAGTATATAATATATAATAATATTTTATATAAGATTGCATTTACTCATTCAGTATCACCCAATAGCAATGAACAATTTAAATATTAATTGTTAATTTTATCACATTGCTCTTTGTATGTTTGTTATTCAGATTTTAACATTTAGACTACCAATTATGTATTCTGCATTATTTTTTGTAAACAATAGCAAAATATTATAATTTTGTTATTTCTTTCTACTTTATTTCAAGGTATTATTCAACCAATTCAAGTTTTTCCTGAATTTTTACTTCCTTCTTGTTGCTTTATCACAATTTGTACCGTCGCTTAGGATTGGATATCTATATACATATTGGGCTCCATTGGTAAGTATCCACCAATCAAATCTCCTTTTTCTAAAAGTATCTAAATCAGGCAGCTTATACTTTTGATTGTACTGCATTATAAAACAACCAAATATAAGAAAATAATATTTTTTATATAGAAAATATTGAAATTAGGAAATATTCAATTTTATTTTTATTATGTTTACTCATATATCAATTATATAAATTTTAAACAAAATTATATGTTGTTTTATTAAAATACTTTATATAAATGTTTTAAATACTTATTATATAGAAAGTATTTCATAATTGTTTAAATATATGAAATTAACTGCCAGACCTTGTTTAAGGTTCCTTCCTGTGTGCCAAAACAAGTTTACATGTACAAACATACCTTTTTGAAATTTTATCTAGTCATATGTCATCAAAATGATGTGTCTAATAAATTGGCGGGACAATATTATTGGGTGAGTATACTCGTCGACGGCACTGTGATAGAACGTTTTATTGACTATGCCAAGTGCGAGTTATCTCGTCCGCTTTTTGCATGGGTTGGTATATGTTCAAAGGGTGCCCCCATTCGTGCCGCTCGAGTGTACTACCGGCAACGTAACACAACAGACATAAATACCTCATTTGTACGTTATCATCTAGATGTATCTTCCTCGAACTACCAGCCGTTGAGTCTGTGGTTCTACAATGTATAACAAAGAAGTTATAAACGCTAAGAATGTTACCCCAATTTTGACGAGTGTACTCGTCCCTGGTACCCCCAGCAACACCCTGTGGGAGAGTATGCTCGTCACTGGCAGCCAACGTGTTAAAACAAGTATAAAATTTGTTTTTTAGGGTTTTGTTATATTTGTTACCGTGTGTCGAGAAGCACTAGACGATTTACGTAGGTACCGGCGGGATAAGGAAGTCAACTCACAAAAATATAAAAAGTTAACTCCCAATGGAATCGTGGAAGTTCCAAGCTCAGACATTCAAGTGTCAGATCTTATATATGTAGAGAAGGTAGCATATGCTCTCCTTTTGGAGGTTTTTAAATTGATTTATATACTTCTATTTATTATTATTAATATATTATTTCTATTTATTATTATTAATATTAATTTTTCTATTTATTATTATTAATGTTAATTTTTGTTCATAGAATTATCATTATCAGTATGACTTTTTTCTTCCATATTTTAGAATCAACGTGTACCTGCTGATATGATATTCGTAAGAACAACTGAAAAAACAGGTAAGAATTATGCATTTGATATAGGAACAGATATATAAATTATGGGAATATGAATTATAAATAGATAGCTATACCTTGGTTGTTGAGTTAAAAGTCTCACTACCTCAGCCTCATAAAATACCATCAATAATTGAGAATAATTTCCATTATAAGTCAATCGTGACGTCATCACTGTAACTCCCGATGTTATTTGCCTATTCCCCAGTGTCCAATAATTTTTGTATTATTGGACGCTCGGCTTGATTTTTTAAAGGTTCTTGTGCAAAAAAAAATTCCTCATTTTTTCGTCACCACCGTGAATACATCAGCATCGCGATAAAAATTGAATTGAAATTGAAAATTACTTTTGTAAGACAAGCTTAATTAGAACCCGAAGAAAGTTAATTCAAATTCAATATTAAGTATGAACAATTAAGGAATTCATTGAATCAATGGGCCCTCATAAGCACAACAAACTAAACGTTTAATAGAAATATTCTAGACCTATTTTAAAGACTCAAGGAACAAATTTAGATGTAGGCCTACGACCAGACAGGCTGCCCAGGCCTCCTCCTACTATTACTAAACATAGGCCGTAGCCTGGCCTAGTTATGAAATCATCGCACGATTTTACCTGTCTGCATGCACTGACCAAAAAGGACATCAGTGACTGTATTCCCTCTCGAATGCTGAAATATTTATTTCTTTGACGAAAGTCTATCAATATAGCATTACAAACAAGTTCTTTCTAACACAATAGTTATTCATCATATCCGTACTGTACTGCTGATGTTAGATGAGTTAAAGGCGTACTGCAGGAATAAAGATCAGCATACGCACAGCTAAATGTCAATACGCACACGATCATGGGCGATGGCTGCTACAACAGTTGGTTATCAAAAAAACTAAAATTAAAAAGATGGCGATTGACTTATAAAGCAATTAGTAGAGCATGCATCGTACACTAAACGAAAAATTATTATAAAAAGCACTTTGGTTTGGTTGTTCAGCTCCTCGTCTATGAGACCCACCTTGGAGTGGATTGGACCCACCTTGGATTCAAAAATTTCAAGCATTAAATCTAACCTTCGTACAATAATTTTCCTATAGTGTACTATGCGGAGCTCTACTAATTGCTTATTATGTAAGTATTAAGTTGTTCACTGTTGAATTAAATTCATAATTACCTATTACTCTCTTACTTTGGCATTTGAAGTTATTCAGGTAAAATTGAAAGTAGGAGAATAACCCATAACTTGCATCGTCATTGGCTGAATTGCATATGGGCGTAGTACATGACTACCTAGCCATCGTAAATAGCTAAATTTTGTGATCGTTCTACAACGAAGGGGGCTGAAATGAACCATAGCATCGGGGTAACCCCCTTTCTGAAAGATTCATTGGGTTCTTTAAAGTGCACACAAGCCAGATGTGTACACTGGACCACCATTATAAGTCCTTATACAAGAAGACTTTGTTCTACCAACCAAACCCCGGGTGAGGAGAGTGGCTTGAACCAGCACTGATATTGAGGCTGCAGTTAGCAGCTCTCCTGCCTCACCGCTTGGCCACTCGAATTGTTTGATTGATTCATGGATGACATTTGTCTTTCAGGTGCTTGTTTTATAAGGACAGATCAATTAGATGGTGAGACAGACTGGAAATTAAGGCTAGCTGTCAGTCAATGTCAAAGGTTACCAAAAGATGAGGTAAATATGTTTTATTGGAGTATGAAAATATTGGTGGAAAGGTCGATTCCAGAATTACCCTTAAGGACCTCAGTTGAAATGTTTATACTATTTGTTTATAGTGCAGTGCAGTGAAAGTCAGTCCTTTCAACTCATACCGATTTTGGACAATTTGTACCATGTTTTTTTATCTTGTATTTTTTTTGCAGGACTTGTTTGACATTGAAGCAAATGTGTTTGCTGAGAAACCACAGAAAGCAATACATAGTTTTGTTGGCACGTTCTCTCGTGTGGACGGCGTGAAACAACAAGACCCCTTAGGCATTGAAAATACGTTGTGGGCTAATACTGTTGTTGCCTCAGGTATTTAGAACTCTGTAGCTGTGTGTGTTAACAACATAAATAACATTGTAAAGAAAACATTTACCAAATGAAAAGATGTAAATATGTTAATGATTAGTTAGTCAATGACTACAAATAATATATACAAATTTATTACTTTATACTTTAATTCCTGGAGAAAAAAATGTTATTTCAGGAAAAAAGTTTTTCTCTTTCCGCAATTAAATACTATCAAAGGATTACAATTTATTATTCTAATTACAAAAGATACAATTAAAATAATTTCAATTTTGTCTGTGAAAATAGTATAAAGATATTATTTAAATTATTCATAACTTTCTGTATGGAACACAAATGATATAATAGCTGTGATATATCTTGTACTGTTGTAGGTACTGCTCTTGGGTTGGTTATATACACTGGCCGGGAAAGCAGAGCCGTTATGAACACCTCCTACCCCCACTCCAAGGTGGGTCTCATAGACGAGGAGCTGAACAACCAAACCAAAGTGCTTTTTATTGGAACCTTGGTCTTGTCCATTGTAATGATTGCTCTAAAGGTAACATGCTTCTCCAAAAATACATTAAACAATAGATGAATTTCAAGCTTCAAAATCATTTTGTTATGAACTAATAATAATTTATGTTCATTTATTATTCTTTATCGTTTCGCTTACAGGGATTTGATGGCCCATGGTACCGCTATTTTTTGCGATACGTCCTCTTGTTCTCCTCCATCATTCCGCTTAGTTTGCGTGTCAATCTGGATATGGGTAAAATTGTATACTCTTTCCTAATACAAAGAGATAAAGAAATACCAGACACGGTGGTGAGAACGACGACTATACCAGAAGAATTGGGTCGTGTTTCCTATTTACTCAGTGACAAGACAGGAACACTCACCGAAAATGCAATGGTAGGTTATTCTTCTTCATCCTTTAATCATATAAATAATATTAACAAGTGTTTAAAACTACCATAGTTGGTTAAAATGGTAATTTCTTTATTTTATTCTGTTAAGTTGTGCTGCTTGTGAAATGTCTTCCTTTAGAAGAATTCTTTAGGCAGTTAGTCCTTTGTCCAACAGCATATATGCACATTGTTGTTATTCTTTTTATTATGGTAATCATCTTCATCATTATTATTATAATCAATTTCATCATCATCATCATCGTCATCATCATCATCATCAATTTCATCACCTTTATCATTTTCATCATCATCTTTATCATCCTCATTGGTTTTTTTTTCATTTTATGATGTTTTTATTTTTTTCTATACTATCAATAGTATTATAAATAGTAGAGAAACGTGTATAGAATGTTTTGTCTTCTTCCTGTTTCCATCCTAAAGTTCAAAAATATTTATTTCCAGATTTTTAAGAAACTTCATCTTGGTACAGTTGCCTTTGGTCAAGAATCCATGGACGAGATGTGTGCGCATTTATTAACTGCTTTTTCCCAGTCAAAACATGGCACAGGAACCCCGGGGGCAACCCCTGCCAAAAGATCAACGACAAGGCGGACTGTGGTGACTCGATGCTACGAAGCAGTTAAGGCCTTAGCGTTGTGTCACAATGTGACTCCGGTATACGAAGATGAAGATGATTCCGAGACAGTAGAAGCTGACAGAGACCAAAATGTGAACGTTGTTTACCAAGCTGCCAGTCCAGATGAGGTTGCTCTGGTGTCATGGACAGAGAGTGTGGGCGTGGCCCTAGTGAAGCGTGACCTAACGACCATGCAGTTGCGTACGCCCCAAGGAGAGCTCATGCTCTACACTATCCTTCAGATCTTCCCGTTCACCTCCGAGAGTAAACGTATGGGAATTATCGTCAGGGTAAGAATTACTTCCACTGCTAAACAGTAATCTTAAAAATTTTGTGCAAAAGATTTTAATTCAACATGGAACCAACCACAATTGATGTTTGTGTATGCCGCAAACTTTGTTATCTACATGATAATAATAAATATTTATTTATGTAGCACATTTTCGATTTACATCTTTTTTTAAAAAATTTTTTTCAGTTCGAAACCAACAGCGATAAAAACTGCCACTAACAGGTGGTTCAATCTGTTCAATGTGCTTTACATAAAAAGATGATAAAATACAATATTAAAATAGAAATAGGCAGCATTATAAAATGAAATTATAAAAATGGTTTTATAGAAACTGCAAAAATATATTTATTATTAATTACTTCATTAAAATACAGTAAAAAAATTTGAAAATTTACAATCAACTAAATAAATATAATTAATTACGTAACAAACTATTATACCATATACAATTATAGTACTTATTATAAGTTATAATAATAATATTTTGTTTATATAGCACATTTTCAGAATTAAATCTGTTCAGTGTGCTTTACATAAAAATATGATAAAACGCAATATTAGAATAGGCAACATTATACAATTAAATTACAAAAATATTATAGAGAAAGACTACAAAAATCATTAAAACATTTGATTCACTATCAACAAAATAAACATGGCTTCATTGGGTCATATGAGATATCGTTAATTGTTAAGATGTTTAGATAATTATAATTCATGTTATTCACTATTATTAATTTAGATTGTGATTAATATATAGACTGTTTTTAATGCTTGTTAAATTTTAATGAGCATTTCTAATTTCCCCATTAGTTTTCTTGAAGTACAAACAAAAGAATCTTTTAGAGTAAACAGTATAACATTTTTAGATCAGGTGTATGAACCCAACTGCAATAAACCAGTGGCAATATTTGGGAACTATTTGATGTAACTATATGTTAATATTCTGCTGTTTTTCAGGAGGAGAAAACTGGTCAGATTTTGTTTTACATGAAGGGTGCTGATACTGTGATGTCAACCATTGTGCAGTATAATGATTGGCTAGATGAAGAGGTCAGTTCTCCTAGGTCAAGTTTGAAAATATCCACATTTAGCCTTATACCAAAGGCTCTATGCGCTTTACAGTATCATACCGGTCATTAAATTTGTAACCTCTATACATTTTGTATACATTATATTTTATGCAATTTATCATTTATAGGAAAAGTAATCTATAAGTTAAAGATGTATTGTCAGAAATAATTTTGAAATTAACTTGAGCATAGAAATTATTGGATTAAAAAAGAAATGTGTACCATGATTCTTATACTGGATAATGATAGTAAAAATAATAGAACAATGACTGGAATTTTTCTATCATTTTTTGATGTAAAATTACTGATAAACATTTTTAAGGACACTAATTTCAGTGATCAAGTTGATAATATTTATGTTACTTCAAACTGATCAAGTTAATTTCAAAAATAATTTTTTATGGTAATTTTCATGGGACAGTGCATCTTTAACTAAATAACTTTTTTAAAATGTTGCCCAATAAAAAAAAAATTGCTTTTTGAACACTCCCATTAAATGTAGTAACAGTCAGTTTTCCTTTCCTGTACCTGAATATTGAAACAAGTTGCCTTGTATCATTGGTGAGTCACCTACACTGAAAGTATTTGAGACAACTGATTAATTTTCTGCAAAAGAAAAGGTAGCTTGGGCCTTTGTGCCTGAAAGCTAACCTGGGAATTGTGTTTCAATTTATATTTTTTCTTAGAGTTTTGGGTTTTCATTACCTGGATGTTAATGTATTCTTTATTGATGTGAAGCACTTTGTAAAAAGCTTTTTATAAATGAAATTAAAAGCAAACATAAAATTAATATTTCTTTTGGTCATACCTATAAAACCACAACAGTATTAACTTTTACATATTTGTTTATATTACAGTGTGGAAACATGGCAAGGGAAGGCCTTCGAACTTTGGTTGTAGGAAAGAAGAAACTAACTGAAGACCAGTATAATGATTTTGAAGTAGGAAATGCTTTAATTTCCAATAATTCTTTTGAATATTTTCTCAAAGTATCTGAGGATTCCACAAGACGTTCCACTTAAGCTAGTGTGATTTCAGACAAGTGCTCACACACAGTGACACTTAGTTTAGATTAACACTTCTTTTCAATCTGTATTTGATGAGTGTATTTGCTATAAGATGTGAAGTGATATATAAACAATATGAGGCATTTCCCATTTTTAAAATTGATTCTGTTTAGCACAGTGAACTCTGCAAATATGTTTATAAACTTCAGAGAGAAATTGTTTTATTATTAAGTGCTTGATTTATAGACTAATTGTTTAAATGATTGATTATTTATTGATAGATTGATTGATCAGTACATTAACTGACTGACTGATTGATTGTTTGATTTGTTGTTACTTTCAGAGTCGTTACAATCATGCAAAGCTAAGCATGGTAGATCGTGGAAGTAAGGTGGCAGCCGTGATAGAAAGCCTCGAGAGGGACATGGAACTACTATGCCTTACAGGGGTGGAAGACAGGCTTCAACAGGATGTTAGGCCAACACTTGAACTACTCCGTAATGCTGGCATTAAAGTAAGCAACGTTAACATTTGCTTTGTGTTTATCAATTTATTATTAGAGATGTGTTAGGTGGTAAGGTTGCTTGCCGTTCATTTCCAGGGTGTTCAGTTCAAATCCTTCATTCACTTCAACTCTATTTTCTGAGTGTCATATATGGTTTTTGGTTTATATAATAACAATAATTATAATAAAAATAATAATATTAATAACTAGCACTAACTGGGACTTGTTATTTTTCCCTTAACGTTGTTTTCTTAATTGTTCTCTACTTTCTCCATTATCTAAGTTCCCCTAAGGTAGGTTTTAGTAGCATAAAAATAATAATAATAATAATAATAATAATAACATTAATAATTGGATTTGTATAGCGCATTATGCAAAAAAGCCTTTATGTGCTTGGTGATTGAGCGCTTTGAGTTTGAATGGGAATTAAGATGTTGCCCTATAAACTAAACCTACTTCCTAAACTAAAGCATGGTTGGCTGTTGGCTCCAAGGAGTCTATCCACCCTTCCATCGACGGATGCTGAAACCACCAAATTTCATTCTTTAGGTGGCAAGTCAAAAGGTTTTTAATCGGATGGAATTAATATATTTATGTATTTTTAACTTTTTACATATTTGTTTTATTAAAAAATTCTTTCCTGTTTTACCGTTTATTGATGCAATAATATATCTCTTTGTTACTCAACAATATATATATATATTTTCAAAGGTCAGCATTAAATATTATATTTCTGTTTGTTATAGATTTGGATGTTGACCGGAGATAAGTTAGAAACAGCAACATGCATTGCAAAAAGTTCTCGTCTTGTTGGGCGTACGCATGATATATACACATTCAAGAATATAGCCAACAGAGCAGAAGCACATCTTGAACTAAACGCCTTCCGTAAGAAGAACGATAGTGCTCTTATCATCCTTGGCGACTCCCTTGATGTGAGTTTTCTATTCAGTTTACTTCGCAACATTCAAAATACTGTTATTTAAATCCCTTTATGAGCTTGCTGAATAATTAATCTAATCGTTATGAGCTTGCTGAATAATTAATCTAATGGAGTATGAATATATAAATGAAGAAAAATTTATTTTATAAATTATTGTATTCATTACTGTACTTTACAAAATGTATTGTTTACATATGTTTGGTTTTGTTTAATTTTTTACCTTTTGTTGTGACAAACCATGGTTGGCCTTTGACCTTGATCTGGGCAATGTAAATCAAACCTGTAGTAATTCTTTTTTTTAATCATTATTCTATTTTTATCTCAAAGCCTCATTTTGTGACTTGGTTTTAAAGCATAGGACCTGTGGAAGACCATTAGATTAGTGCCGAACTGGATCCCAAGTTTAAATATAGAAATACTCTTATCAATTATTATATTATATTATTATTATTTATATTTTCAGGTTTGTTTACGATATTATGAACATGAATTCATGGAGTTAGCTGTACAGTGTCCTGCAGTGGTCGTCTGTCGCTGTTCTCCAACACAAAAAGCCGGCATCGTCAACTTGATACGAACACACACAGGCAAAAGAACTTGTGCAATAGGTAAGGCAGAAATAATAGTGACAAAGTATTGATTTTAGTTTTATTTTTTTTTCTTCATATAATTGCCATTATTCAGTACACACAAGCTTAATATTCATATACATAGATAGAGAAACATTACATTAAGTAACAAGGTCAGCGTAGTATTGAAGATATTGGGGGTCAGCCTCTAGATCTGTAATGATGCTTATGGGAGGGGTTAAAGGTCATGTATCCCAACATCTAACTGTAATCTAACAATTACTGACATTTCAAATAAAATTCCTTCATTAAACTCAACCAATAAAACTTGCCCTCCCTCATACTACTGCTATGTTTTCTATGTTGTTACAGTACATTTTTGACTCATGTTTAGTCAATTGCTATAATTGTAAGTTTCAGTACTTTTTTTTGGGGTTCACTATCAAAAAATATTTTACAAAATATTATGAATAAATATATAGGTGCAATGGTTGGAGCATTAAAAATATTACAACATAAAGAGAGCTGTGGGGAAAACTATGAAATCAGACAAAGTTGAACAAACAAAAAAAAAAAACAAGTATATCATGTATAATATATCAATTCTGTCAGTAGAAGTGGAATCGTGGCTTGAGCCTCATCGCCAGTGGCCACAATTCATTGAACCAAAACATATTTGATATTCTTTTAATTCTTCATTCATACTGTGGTTGAAATACTGATTTGAAATGGCCCAAAAATCCCCTGGACGGCACATACTGTGTATAAAAATACTCTCATTTACAAGCATTTGCTTTAATACTCAATAATAGTTACTGTTAAGTGAAGAAAATTGCAATTAAAAAAAATTCATGCTCACACATAAAATGTTGTTGGACGTGGTAATAGTGATAATAATAATGATGATTTAGTGGATAATAAATATATATTGCTATATTTTTTTTTTCCCTTTTTATAAAGTACTTATTTTTCACTAAACTTAAATAACACACCGTCGGTGCCATTGTTAAGACTTTAATATCTGAAGGTCATTTGTCTGCTTGGGTTCCATAGTTTGGAACACTGTTTTTCCAAACTAAACAGTTTATCTGTCCACTTATCATTCAAGATGACAATTGTACATGGCCGAATTGATAGTCTACGATGGCTTGAAAGTCAAGAGTTAGATTTGTTGTCAATCTGAGTGTGCTGTGTATTAACTCTGTTTTCAATTATTGCATGGTACTTCTGTCCGTTGAACTCAAACACCTTTGCATAGTTAAATGCTAGGCTCAAAGCAGGTGTGGTATACACAATATCACCATTGGGACTCTTATTCATCCCTGGCTTGTACCCATCCCTGAGTATTCTTCCAATTCCTTTGATATCAGTGCCATGGAATTCAATCTGCCAAACTTTTTTATTACTCAACCAGTCATCATATTTTCCGCAACCATTTAATGCAAACTGTTGCCATCCTTTATCAAGCACGCAGCCTCACCAGCAATATATTTTTCCTCCATCACGCACCACTAAAGGATCATTATCTAGCATGCCCTCATCAATTCCATTGGCCAATAAAATTTGCACACTATTAAAGCTGGGATGCTGATTTTTTGTATCAACATTAATCTCAGGATCATAATCTGGATATGAAAACCAACCTGCATAAAAACAGAAATAATAGGTTAAAAATTTCAAAAGGGCTATAAACCTAAATTTTCCAAATTCCATAAGCACTGGACCTAAGTTCCACAAGTCCATAAACCAAGTTTTATAAGCCATGGACTTTCAAAGTGTCAATCAAACTTAACAACTCACCAATCAAAATAGCGCAAGGAATAAATATGCATGTGTGTAACAAGCACACATGTTGTCCCAGGAATGCACGTGTTTTGTGGGACCTTAGCAACAGTATCCAAGGGGCGGAGCTTAGCGAAAGTTCTATTGTTCACAAGCTCTGAATGTGGTCCACAAGATGGACATGGACTTTTAATCCACAAGGATGGTCCAGCCCTAAATGTGAGGTTAACTTGCCCAGTGACCTAAGGTCCTCCAGCATATATACTAGGGAACTTTCGATCGCACGACGACGGCAGGACGTAGAACGTAATGACGTCAGTAAAATTCATCTGCGCATGCAAGGACGTTAAGGTCACCTCGTCGAGTAGATTCTGGAACGCTATTTGACCAAATCTACATATGCAGAGAATGTAGGACGCCAGGTACGACGGTTACGCATGAGTGATTCCGTTGTAGCGTCCTGACCTACTACCTTGGATACGGGCCTGTACTGTCTTATTGACATAAAATTGTTGCTGCTGATGGTAGTAGTGACTATGATGATGATGGTTGTAGAGGATATAAATATTGCTTTAATACTTCTTTTTTTCTTTTCTGTAAGTTACTTTTTTCAGTGAATAACATACCATTGCATAGTTAAAACTGTCCTTATCGGAAGGCTGTTTATCTGTTCGTTTTCCATAGTTCAGAACACTGTTTTTCCAAACTAAATAGTTTGCCTGTCCACTTATGGTCCAGGATGAGAATTGCACATGGCCGAATAGCTTGGCTATGATGTCTTGAAAGCCAATAGTTACTTTCATTGTCAATTTGAGTGTGCTGTGTATTATCACAGTTAACTCTGTTTTCAATTATTGCATGGTACTTCTGTCCATTGTACTCAAACATCTTTGCATAGTTGAATGCTAGACTCAAAGAAGGTGTAGTGTACACACTAATACCGTTGGGACCTTTCTTCTCCCCTGGCTTGTACCCATCCCTGAGTATACTTTGAATGTTTTCTATAGGAGTACCATGGAACGCAATCTGCCAATCTTTATTACGCAACCAGTCATCATCATATTTTCCACGAACATTTAATGCAAATCGATGCCAACCTTCATCAAGTATGCAGCCTTGCCAGCAATATAGCTTTCCTCTATCATGTATGACTGAAGGATCATTATCAAGTTTTGGATCTAGCATGTCCTTATCAATTCCATTATCCAATAATATCTGTGGACTATTAAGTCTAGGATGCATATTTCTGTCAACATTAGGCTCTGCTGGCACATGGGCATATCCTGTTGAAAACCAATCTAAGCAAAAACAGAAATAATAAGTTAAAGTCCTGGATGTAATGTCAACAGTGCAGTGGTGGAATCCAGGAATTTGAAATTGAGGGGGCTCAGGGATAGACTTTCAAAGCCTCGGCCTCACCATGGTTGGAGTTGAGGCATGAAAATTAATGATTACGGCACCTTTAGATGGCCAGAAATGGCACTAAAAAACTTGAATGTAATCTTCTCCTCCTTTCCATTTTTTAAAATAATTTTGAAAAATTAGGGGTGGGTGTCCTAAGGAGAAGTTCCACAAGCCCTTGACACAAGTTCCAAAAGCCATTAAACGTAAGGTCAAGCCCTGATATAAGGTCCATATGCCCTGGATATATGTTCCACAAGACTATGAACCAATTTTTTTTAGCACTGGGTCACAAGCACTTAAGCTGAGCCACAAGATGGCTATATGATCCACGGTACAGGGTTGATTCACAAGCACTAAATGTAAGTTTTTTAATGCCCATGGACCAGGGTCCACGAGCATACCTATACAGTACATGAAGCTACATGGTGTGCATGGAGATATAAGGATATTTAAAATGTCAAGAGTAATTACAAAATGGTAGTTTCAATACATGATCTATCTTATACATCATGAAAAATAATTTAATGCAATGATTATAATAGTTTGGACATTACAGCCATTTAGATATGTAGTAATGGAATAATGATACTGAATTGTGACATATTACTATAGTATAAAAGGTGTAGTTTTTCACACTTCATTTAGTTATACAAGAATTATACTTACCCCCCATTTTTTCTTTTATATATAATATTTGATAGCTTCTATCTCAATATGACGTTAACTTGGTTAATCTTCATACCTCATTGTTTCTACTTCCTGGTGTCATTTTTTGCTATGGTAATGTAACAAAGACCCAATCAGAATGCTGTTAATCAGTCATGTGATTTATTGAAAGCTAAATATAGCATTGGGAAATTTCTTTATGTAATCAATGTATTATGTTTTTAAGCCTTTTATTAAAGATGTGTTGAGATATCATTTGTGTATTCAGTATTGGAACCAGACTATTAATTGACATAAACTTGATAACACTGGTACATTGATTAAAGATAAAATGGAATTCCATGAAATGACAAAGGTGAACAGTATACTTTATGTTTAATCTGGAACAATGTGCACAGTACAATATTAGGATACATGTGTACTTCGGTTTTGTTCGGTTTTGAGGAAATGGATTATAGCTTGCTATCATAAAGTGTATACCATTCTTGATTGTCCCAGATGTTTGTGTACTGCTTCTTCCTCCTGCACTTTAATTAAATACAGCTTGCAAAGTACTAGCACTCCAAAAACCGACAAGTAATAGCCAAGCTTAGCGTAAGTAGGCAAGTAAACTTCCCAAGTTAAGTAATAATCTATGAAAGCCAGGTAAAATTATCTAAACTAGAGTAATCACTCAATAGAGTGCATACCTCCGACCTGTGTTTGAATACTGAACAATAAGCAGGCCGTATATGATTTGCAACCCTGTACCTTTACAGAACAATACACAGGCTGTGTATAATGGACGATTCCATTATTTTCGTCCCTCCCCTTAATACTGAATAATAAGCAGGTCGTGTATGATAGGAGATTCCATTATTTTCTTTTGTGCTCGAGGGTAGATTTGCTACAATCTGATTTATTGATTTTTCCGAGTGTTATTTCGGAAAGTACCGTCAACGTCTGCTTATGAAACTTGTTGAATTTAGATGGCAGAATTAGAGTAAACCCAGGAAAAGTATGGTATGGAAAGCCATTGGTGCGAACAAATTTAGAGACTGGAACCCAGTCTAGCTTGGGGGTAAAAAAATTGAATTTCCATAACCTTGACCTTGTCCTTTGACCTTCCCCAAAATGTAATCATCTCTTACTTTTTTTCATGTAGGCCTACCGTTCCATAAATTTTTATGATGATCCATTCTTTATTTTTTTCATAATCTTGCTACAAACAATAGTGAATAAGAAAAGAATCATGAAAGAAGTGAAAAAGTAACTATGTAATTAAAAAAACAGATGAGTCTTTCTTGTAGACATAAAGCAACAGTCATGGAAGATTAAATGTATTGTGAGCTGAAAGACAGTTCTCCACTCCCATTCAATTCTCAAAAGTATGTCGCTACCACCTTTTACTTTCTCATAGTGTACAGTAGCATAAAAAAACTAGACTGTGATGTGATGATGTCTGTTTTTTTATATACTCCTAAGCCTTTTTTTGTCCTCATTAATCTCAACGCTTCACATCATGCTTCGCATCTTCTCAGCTGTGCATGTGGTTTTCACATTCAGTCTGTCAGTCTCCTGTTTATGTGGTTTATAGAATATGATTGCATTTCCTCACAATAATTTCTTTCTAAAAGTTTCACCATGATTGACACCTTGTTATTTTAGAATCTTCATTATTCATAATGGTTTTTTTTTCTTCTCAAAGAGGAGTCTGGTGGGGGTAACAAAGTGAATAGGTCTCTGTATAAAATATCAACCAGAGAATCAATTTACCAATGAAGGTATAATATTTGAAATTACAAGATAATATAATATTTAAATTAATAATTAAATAATTAATTCAAATTTTAATAATATATTTTTTTTATCCAATTTTAACATAAAATAATAATATATATTTTGTTTTCTAATTTACAGACTACTTACAAAAAATATTAATTTCACTGCCAACCAATTAAACGTTCTATTCATAAGAGATAAAAAAATTTATTTATGTATCAAGGAAAACATTTTCCATTTCTGTTTTTAGTAGAACGCTAATAGTTATTTAATATAAAAAATTCAACATTTAACATGAGGATTAATTTTGGATCCAAGGGGTGGCGAAAGAAGTGTTCTGCCCAAGCAGCAGCTGAATAATCCAAGTGTGTAATGGCTCCACAGATTCCAGGGGATGTAGCCTTCTAGACCTCACAATTATAGTGAACATCCACCAACCATAGGCCTCCACTGGTACTTTGCACTCCTAGCAAATATGTCCTAGATCCGCCTCCTACTGTAGATTACCAAGTCCATGGCCATTAAATGCAGATGTGATTATACACATCTTCACAAATATGTTCTTGCAATTGCCTTATACATTATTAATGTAAACAAAAATTAAACTTGGCAAGTTGGAAGTCTTCAATGATAGAGCAAAGTTTGATTCCTTATATGGTAGTATATTACAGTGTTGCATCCTAAATAGATAGTTATAAGTACATGTTTTGCGGACGTATTCGATTAGTGCAATTAGAGCATGTCGTCTCCCAGACTTTACGCTTTGTTTCCTCAAATTTAATATAATAATATTTATTATCTTGTCATCATCCCTTAGGATGAGGGATGGGCAGTTGTATAACTTTCAGCTGTTGGAGATATGAACTGCATATTCAGGGTTATGATATTGCTTTCGCTTATCCAATAATGAAGGAGACATGTTAATTACTGGGTGGAAATTTAATTTTGGCTTTGCTCCACTTGGAAGGGGAATTTTATTGGCTTCTGTTTTTCTTCATGTTGTCGTTAGTAGTAGTGGTGTTAGTATTGGTGGTGTTAAGTGTGGTGTTTGTGGTGGTGGTTGTAGTGTTGCTAAATTCATTGTTACCATAATTATGAGTGTGTGTTATGTCCGATTGTTTAAAAACTTGGCAAAATACAAGAAAACAAGTGGCCTATCCACTATAGGTACTTTTGCGATTATGCAAATTGTTTAGAGAGTAGTATAGCTCAGTTGGCTCTGCTAAGAGATGTGGGATGTGCCCTTACTGAAAGGGAGAATATTGACTATTACTTACATTGAACCTACTCCCTCTGTATTGAAAGGTAAGCACCTGACCTTAATTTTAAAAAGCTGCTTCTCTGCCATTTAATGTTAGAAACCTTTTAAAATTGCTGTTGCAATGTAATCATCTGGAATATAATCAATTAGATTAATTAAAATCTGTTTCTTAATTTAAGAAATATGTTATTTCATTTCTTTTCATTTATTCTGTCTTTGGAACACGACAAAGAAAGATACATAATAAACAAATGATTAGGAGGTATATAAAATTAGAGGATAATAGGATAATCAAATTATATCGACTATTTAGTGATAATCCAAACTACTAACAATGTTTTATAGACAAAGATTATTTGTAGAAATTAGTAAATCCAAATTACATTAATTTTATGTATAAAGCAAGGATAAGAAAATCTGATAAATTAATTAAATTGTAATCCTGTTTGTTACACAATGAATGAATCAATTAATTTAGCTGTTAAACTAGTAGAGAAATATCAAAATTATAAGTAGGTAGAAAAGACTGAAATTGAATGACCTTTGGCCTACATTAATCAAGCGTTAGGAAATCGGAATAATAATTCTAAAAATAGCATTCATCAACTGGGAATCTGTCCTGGCATTCAGTATTAACTGTCGAAATAAATACATCAGAAAAAATGCAATATCACATCTCTGTTGGCAAATATTTATACATACTTCATATAGATAGAAATATATTATGACAATTTATTAACAATGACCCAGAAACATGGAAATCCTATAATGATGGTATTTCAAAGTAAATTACAAAATAAATTGCTATGTAAATGATAGAATTATTGTAACACCAAATCTAGAGAGAATATGATTCAATGTTTCTACCTTTATTGGGTCATCTACAGGAAAATTAATTCATGTCTGGACCCTCATTCCACCCATTGCTTTATTCATATTATTACACATCATTTAGGAATTTAGCCGACAGTGTTCAGAAATAAAAATGTCTGCAAACCTGTCGTGTACGATGAATTGGAATTGTGAGAAAATAATAAACATATCCATTTGCACTTGGCAATACTAAAAGCATCTGTGTAACAGCTGTGGGAATTAATCCTATGTTGCCACGCACACACTCTTAATTAAAAAAATGACTGTAAAAAATGTACCCCATAGTTTCATGGTTCTGAAGTTCACACTATAACTGGAGCACAAATAAATGAACATACATATTATACAGGTTTTGTTTTATTGGAATTCTGCCCATTTACAACGACTCAAATTTCATTTAAAAAAAAAATTCTTATGGCTCAGTATATCCATGGAGGATTTAAATTCCTCCATGTTATATCTATTTAAATTAATTGGTATAAAATCATTGGATTAAATTACTATTTGAATCTGTATAATGTAGTACTGTTAAGACCTATTTATTAGAAACCAAGAAAATATCGCCCTCTATATTTTGGGTGCAAAGGAGTGTGAAAAGAAAACAGACCATTAACCTCTCCAAATCCCCCTGTTGCCTGACGCTACAACAAGGTCCTCAGATCCAAAATTAAAAAAATTATAATACTTGCCCTTATATTGTGGTCTAACAGCATAATTTGTGCCATATTAATCCTTGTGAACCCTACCATAGATTTTCATTCTGTGACCCTGACCATTGCTCTAGTCATCCCGTTAGTTCAAAACCCCCCATCAGACATGTTGGAACCGCTTGTCGGCAAATTTCTGGAGCCACCGCTGCCTGATATGGCCAGCTGTGGGTGTGGTCTTCCCTGTTACCCCAGTTACTTAATTTTGAAAATATACTTTTTTGGTATAAGGCCAACATACATATAGATTAGATGCTATAGTAAGCATGTACCTGTATGTAAACGTATATATATATATTTGTTGTGATTTTCTTGTTCAAAGACTTAATATTATTCCTTTCAACCATTGAGTTATAATCTCAAAATAATTAAAGCTCTATGAACTCCAATTAAAGATATTTCTTGCTTCCATGATTCTCAATTATTGGTATAATAAACAAATTGCATCGTGCGTGTGAAAAACCATATCGT